TGGCTACTCACAGTATATTCAATCATGGGAGTGATTACATTAAAACACGGAGAATCATGGCCCAGCCAAGTTGACACACAATCTTAACCATCACACATTGCATAGGGCTTTTATGGGCATGACCTTTAGGAAGCAGATCGCCAGTCCTTTCTTCCAAGGTGCCTCTGGGTGGGTTCTAACTTCCAACCTTTCAGTTAATAACTGAGTGCATTAACCATTTGCGCCACCCAGGGACTCCTCTTCAATAAATAAATACTCATTATTTATTTTTGTTGGTTTGGGGCTTGTTCATAAGATTCTGAGGACAGGACCAACTTGTGTGTGATGCTGTAGGCAGCTGTCCACCCAATGGGATTTCAGAGTCCTTTCTCCTCCCTATCCCCAAAATACAGCTCCTGCCACTGTGCATCATGCTGCCTAGACATCCACTGTTAGGAGCCCTAGCTGTGCAACAGTTAAGTGCTTAGCTGCTAACCAAAAGGTTGTCGGTTCAAACCCATCCAGTGGCTCCATGGTAGAAAGACCTGGTGATCTGCTGTCATAAAGATTATAGCCTGGAAGACTCCATTGGGCAGTTCTAATTATCACATGGGGTCACTATTAAGTTGAAATCGATTCAACAGCACCTAACAACAACAGTCAACTCTGTGGATTAAGGCATGGTGGCAGATTGTCTTTTCCAAATACAATCACATCAAGATCTCGTATCTCACATACTCTTCCTACAATGTGACTTTGACACACCTCCCATGGAGAGGTGGGTCTAGGTTCCCTCTCCTTGACGCTGGCTAGGCCTGTGACTGTGGTGGAAGTGATGCTATGTCATATAAGTGTCACTCCCTCAGCTAGTCATAAAAGGCAACACAGCTTCCACATTGTTTCCTGGAGCCCTTGCACTGTGCCTTGAGCCACTGTGTAAACAGTCCTTCTGCCCTGAGGCAGTCATGCTCTAAGGAAGCCCAGAAACCAGCTCTTGCAGAGAAAGCACATGGAAGGGCCTTGTGACTAAGAGAAAAAAAAAAGAAGAAATGTCCAGGCAGCCCCCAGCTGCTCCAGCCCCAGCCACCATTTGACTGCAACCACAGAGAGACTGAGCCAGAACCACCCAGCTGAGCCCTTCCTGAATTCCTGGCCCACAGAAACCCCAATACATGTTGTTGTATCAGAGCTCTAAAGTTTTGGGATGGCTTGTTACACAGTAATAGATAACTGATACAAACACAGAATCCTCCTCTTAAAGGAAAGGAAAATTAACATTTGTACCTACTGTGTGCCAGAAACTGTGCCAGGTCCTTTTACACTTAGCGATAATGATGATCACAACAGTGATAATAGCAGCTTCCATTTATTCAGCTTTTACAAGTACCAGGCATTATGTTACGGGTTTAACACCACAGCCCTGAGGGTCCTACGGGTGCTCTTATTATCCCCATTTTCCAGATGAGGAAACTGAGGCTCAAAAAGATGAAATGGCTTGTCCAAGGTCATTTAGTAAGTGGCAGAGCTAGGATTTGAACCAGGGTCTAAGTGACTTTCAAGACTGCTTCCTAATAACCAAACACCTTAAGGGACTGAGTCATTGGGCTTGAGGACTGGGGACCATAGTCTCAGGGGACATCTAGGTCAATTGGCATTAACATAGTCCATAAAGACAAAGGTCTACATCCTATTTTGGTGAGTAGCAACTGGGGTCTTAAAAGCTTGCAAGTGGCCATCTAAGATAACGACTATTGGTCTCTTCCTGTCCAGAGCACAAAAGAGTAAAGAAAGTCAAAGACTCAAGGAAACAATTAGTCCAATGGACTAATGGACCACAGAACCACAGCCTCCATTAGCCTGAGACCAGAAGAACTAGATGGTGCCCGGCTACCACTACCAACTGCTGTGATCGGGATCACAATAGAAGGTCCTGGGCAGAGTAGGAGAAAAATGTAGAACAAAATTCAAATTAATAAAAAAGACCAGACTTACTGGTCTGATAGAGACTGATGGAACCCCCAAGACTATGGCTCTTAGACACCCTTCAAACCTGGCACTGAGCACACTCCTGGAGATCACCTTACAGCCAAACAATAGACAGGCCTATGAAGTGAACAGTAACACCCATGAGGAACGTGCTTCTCAGAACAATCAGCCACATGAGACCAAAAGGATAGCATCTGCCCAAAAACAAAGTTCAGAAGGCAGGAAGCGGCAGAAAAGATGGGCAAATGGAAACAGGGAACCCAGGGAGGAAGCGGGTAGAGTGCTGCCACATTGAGGGATTGCAACTAATATCACAAAACAAAATGTATATAAGTTGTTGAATGGGAAACTAATTTGCTCTGTAAACTTTCACCCAAACCACAATAAAATGTTCAAAAACAGAAAACACTACGGAGCACATTTCTACTCTGACGCACATGGGGTCACCATGAGTTGGAGTCCACTCACCAGCAACTGGTTTTTAGCTCCCAGAACTGTGAGACAATAACTTTCTGTTCTGATAAAAAGTAAAAAAAAAAAAAAAAAGACTGCTCCCTCGCTAAATAATAGATTGGCTCACAAAATAAAGAATATCACTTGTGAATACTGTGGTCCTTTAAAAAATCATCTATATGAGACAAAAGAGTCAACAATTATTTTAAAACAAAGATGAGAAGGTAAGAGGGCAGGGAAACTAGATTAATGGAAACAGAACAACCAGAAAGGAAATAATGAGAATGTTCACGCATCGTGAAGAATATAACCAATGTCACTGAACAACTTGTGTAGAAATTGTTGAATGGGAACCTAAATTGCTGTGTAAACCTTCACCAAAAACACAGTAAAATATTATTTAAAAAAAAAAAAAAAGACTGCTCCCACAATGTAAAATGACCTTTCCCAGCCTAGAAATAGATCCTAACACTGATCACCGTTCACCAGAGCAGGGGTGAGCCAGGGTCTGCATCCCCAGCTGGTCCCAGGCCCTGTCTGTCTTGCCTCTCTGGTCCCAGTGATTCCTCCCCCTCTGGATCTTTCCAGGGATCCCCCCACCGACACTCCCACCTGCCCCCCAGGCCCTGGGAGACAGAGGTAGTAACCTGCCTGCTGAGCTGACCCAGGATGGATAGAGACATCGAGGCCTCGCCCTGACTGGCCTCTAAGTACCAGGGCCTGGGGGAAAGGAGGACTTTGGCTCCAAAGTCAGCAATTCTGGGTCTGCTTCCCCAGGCAGCAGGTGACCTGGGAAGCAGCTAGCCCCACACACAGACACTAGCTGTGGGCCTGACCCTGTATTGGCTGTCTGGACATGGGGGCCAGCTGGGCCACATCCCTGCTTTGAGACACTCCCAGCCGGTGGGGACACAGGCATATAAGTCACCACATTGCAGTGATAATAATGGAATAATGGCAACAAAAATGCTTCCATTGAGGTAACATTTACGTGGCACCAGGCATGAGACTTGGGACTTTACACACAGTGTCATATTTCATTGTGCAAGGACGTCATGAGGGTAAGTACTACCATCATTTCTATTTTACAGGGAAGGAAACTGAGGCTCAGAGGGTACAAGTGTCTTGCCCAACGTCACACAGAAATCTGATGTGCTGGGATTCTAAACATATCATTGCGTTCTCCACCACGATGTCATACACCCCACAGATGGGACCTACAGTTGTACTCTGAAGGTAAGGAACTCCATGGTTGGGGTTGAGGGGCAGCGAGGAGAGTGCAAGACCTGGCAACATGAGCAGGAGTTTGTCAGGTGGAAAGGGGAGGTGGCACACTGAGGGGAGTCCCTGGGTGGTGCAAATAATTAAGCGCTCAGAGGCTAACCAAAAGGTTGGAGTTTCTATTCCCTCCAGAGGCACCTCAGAAGAAAGGCCTGGAGATCTACTTCTGAAAAATCAGCCACTGAAAACTCTATGAAGCACAGTTCTACTCTGACACACATGGGGTCACCATGAGTCAGAATAGACTCAACAGCAACTGGGGGGCATCCTGGGCAGAGGGCTCAGAAGGAGTAGAGGTGTGCCTCTAAGTCCCCAGTGTGTTCAGGGAATGGGGAGCACTTCCAGGAGCCAGAGGGAGGGGAGTAAAGAGGTGGGGATCAAAGATGAAGGCTGAAAGGAGTCCTGGGGCAGATCGGTGAAGGGCCTTGAAGGCCAGGCTCAGAGCCGGGCCCTGCTCTGCGGATGATAAGGAAGTAGGGCCGACTGAGTAAGAGACGTGATGGGATTAGCTGTGTACAGGTTATGGGGTTCTATGGGAAACGCCCTGGAAGAGCAAGAGAGTAGGGCTGGAGGAGTGGCCTGGGAGGAGATACTTGGCCCCAGGCTCACCACCCCCACTCCCAGCCCCTGCACCCAACCTCACCTTGGCCAGAGGAAAGGCAGATAACCAGAACTTGCCCAGAAGTCTGGGAAAACTATGCAGAGCCGGAAATAGATCCCTCCTCAGGACCTCAGGACGGGTAAATCACTAATTCCCATGGCTTAACCTGCTTACCATATTCTTGTTTGAAAAGCGATACTAAACCCCCCTTTGCCACGTGGAGTCGATTCCGACTCACAGCGACCCTATAGGACAGAATACAACTACCCCATATGATTTCCAAGGCTGTAATCCCTGACTGTCAAATCTTTCTCCCGCGGAGTGGCTGTAGGTTCGAACCGTCAACCTTTCGGTTAGCAGCCAAGCGCTTAATCACTGCGCTACCAGAGATCCTTAAAGCATGCTACTAGACGGAAATGCTTAACTCAATTCGGAGGTCTCTCAAATAGAGGCGTCTCTAGCAGGACAGCCAGAATAGTTGTGGGTGGGCGGGGGCTTCTAGGAGCTTCTCAAATACTCATCATTATCGATTACCAGAAGCATTCTGACACCGTCTCGCCCACCACACTCTCAGGAATAGAGCCCCTAAGTTTCACCCTCTAATTGCTTCTTTCCGACCTCCCCTCGTCTTTACTTATCTAGTTTCATCTCAGCTTCCGCTTTCGCAGCAGAAGCAGAACTAACATGGACCTGGCAAAGAGAAGGGTGCCGTGTGGTTAAGACCCTCGGGGACCTCCCGGAAGACTATGCCTTTAAAGGAAAGGGCGGGGCGAGCATCCGGGGGCGGGGGCGGAGGCGTGGCTGTTGCGGGGGCGGGGGAAGGGGCGGTGCCAGCCGTGGCCAGTGGGTCTAGCGGACTCTGCTGCTGGCTTGGATCACGCAGCGGGCGTTGTCGGGGGCGGAAGGTTGGGCAGCGCGGGAGAGCTGGAGGGACCGGGAAGGCCTCGAGGCCCGACGGAATTCAAGTTTGGAGTCTAGGGGCCGGAACCCGGCCTGAGGTAAGAGGAACCTCCCCTCCTGCCTGGGCACCTACGGAGGATCCAGGCACCCAGAATTCAACTTTTCCGTCCGGATGGGGGCACTGAGCGCGGAGAAGTTCCCGGGGTCTCGCAACTAGAAAGTGTAGCCCCCATTTCCTGCCACCGCCCTTTCCTATCTAGTCTGCAAATCTAACACGGGGCCGGCTCACAGGAGGCGCTCAATAAATGCTCACTGGTGAATGAGTAAAAGAAATTGGCGGGCAGTAGAGACGGATACATGTTCTGATCCTCAGGTTGGGGACACCAGGGGAGTGAGCATTTATTGAGTCCCTGTTGTATACCCCCTGACGGCCAGCATTTATTTCCATTTTACAGATGAGGAATTAAAGGCCCAGAGAGGTGAAGTGACTTGCCTAAGGGGCAAACAGCTAGTAGGTGGCCGAGAGTGAAATGGAAACCGGGGTTTCTGTTCCAAGGTGGTGCCAGGTGGAGTCACAGGACAGGAGAGGGAAGAGTCAGTGTCTTCTAAATAGGAGAGGAAGGAGTGTGGGGACAGGGTCATCTTCCCCCGGTCTGTCTTTCCCTCCTCTCTGTACTATCTTCCTCCCTGTCGTTGTTCTCCTCCCCCACACCCGTTACCCTCAGCTGCCGGGACATTGAGAAACGTCCGTGCAAAGAATTACACCAAACCACCGTTGTTTTCTGTTGTTTCTGCACTGCAAAAATAAAACCTGCTCGTTGTTGAACATGTGGGGACGCCAAGAGAAGAGGGTTAGTGTGCCAAGGACTTTTTTTTTTTAGTTTAATTTCTTTGGAAGAAAAATAAAGCCATTTTTACCCTGACATTGAGGGAAGCGGCAGAGGCTAGCATCCAGCCAGCTCCCCTGCTTGCGGGCCATGTGACTTGGAGAAAGTCATTCCCCTCTGGGCCTCAGTTTCCCCATGGAGGAGCTGTTGACTCTGTGACTTCCTACTATGTCACCTTGGACAGGTTTTGAAAGTCTTCTGAGCTCCACCCTCTCATCTGTAAAAGGGGTGGGACAGTAACACCTCCAAAATTGTCCTGAGGACTAGATAAGGGAGACGTGTTGCGGTGGCTGGGAGACTGGCTTGTGTGCATTACCTGGGGCCAGTAACTTCACCTCTGGCTCAGTTTGCTTATCTGTAAAATGGAAATAATAATAGTACTCCCCTGTCTAGGGGCCCTGGTGGTGCAGTGGTTAAGCATTTGGCTACTAACCAAAAGGCATCCAACAGCCACTCCTTGGAAACCCTACGGGGCAGTTCTACCCTGTCCTATAGGGTCCTTGTGAGTCGGAATTGACTTGATGGCAACAGCTTTGGTTTTTTTTGGTTTTGGTCTGGGTGTTGTGGGGATTAAATGAGGTCTTCTGTGTAAAGTGCTTGGCCCATTGTAAGAATAGCAGCATTGCTTAGTATCCTTACAATGTGATGGGCTAGTCTCCTGGGGTCTCCCAACTGGTGGCCCAGAGGCCAAGCCCACCCCCAGAAGTATGTTTTCTTTGTTTTGAGCATTTTTCTAGTTCGCCTCAGTTCCCGCCACGCCCCCAATGCCCGCCTGGCCCCTGAGACGTGGGTCTCTGGATCCCATCTGAAGTCCCTTTCTAGCCTTGCTATTCTGGTTTCAGGGAGCAGACTGGGGCTGAGGGGAGGACTGGAGGTTTCCACGGAGATACCATTGGAGGCCCATGAAGATGGGAGGTATCTAGTCTGGAATGTGGGTTTCTACATTGGCTTTCCTTTAGTGAGGGCGAGGGGGGCGGTAGTTCCTCCTGAAAACATTCTGACTCCTGGAATCTTCCGTGACGCTTTTCTCCTTCTTACGTCCACCCTGCAGGCCACGGGCCACCAGCTGTTTTGAACTGAAATACTACAGAAGGAGAAGTGGCAAGTGAGGTCTGTGGGGCTGATGGATGGCAGGTGGCTGATGGTGGAGACAGTGTTTGGAGCAGGGCCTGGGGACCCCTCTGCAGAGGCCCCTGTCTGCCCCCTGCTTCCAACTGCAGGTGTGAACAAGACCCCCACGGTGGATGTGAGTATCCAGGCAGGAAGCTGGGGTCAGGTGGGGTGCATTCATCCAATTGAGTATCTACTATGTGCCAGGCACTGTGATGAGCCCGGGACAAAAATCCCTGCCCTCATGGAGCTGACAGTCTCCTGGGAAGAATATAAAGAATAGGATAAAGTGATAATGGTGGTAGGGTCAGCACACTGAGGAGCATATTTCCAACTATTTTAGATTGGGTGGTCACAGATAGCTTCTGTGAGGAAATAACATTTGAACCAAGTCCTGAGTGGTGAAAGGAAGCCACCTCTATATACATCTGGGGGACAAGCATTCCAAGCAGAGAGGACAGCAAGTGCAAAGGCCCTGAGGCAGGAATGTGTTCCTAGAACAATGAGGAGGCCAGCGTGGCTGGACCAGGGTGAGTTAGGGGGAGAGTGTTGAAAAGAGGGTGAAGCAATAGTGGTGGCCAGATTAAAAAAGGCCTTACAGGCTGAGGCAAGGAGGTTAAAACTGTTCTACGATAGTAGGGAACCAATGGAGGGTTTTAAGCAGAGAGATGCCAACATCTGATTTACTTTTTCAAGAGATCTCTCTGGCTGCTCTGAGGGGAATGGATTGAGAGTGGTTGAGATGGTAGCAGGGAGAGCAGTGGGGAGCCCCCTGCAGCCAGGCAGGTGAGTAATGGTGGTTGTGGGAGATGGGAAAAAAGTGGGGTTTGGAGTAAATGTTGGAGGCAGAGCAAGCAGGAGATACTGACGGATTAGATGGAGGGGTGTAGTGGTAGGGGAGGAGAGGAGTCGAGGATAGCTCCAGGTTTCTGGGGATGATGGCACCATTGACTTGGATGGGGAGCACAGAGCAAGAGTAGTTGGGATGTTTCAGTGGGAAGCGAGAAGGCTTCCTCCTGGGGCAGGTACAGGCAGCGCCGTTGAAACAGGCTGCAGGGAACTTGCATCATTCTACCCGGATATCGGAGAGGGGAGGAGAGGTCATAGCGGATCTGGAGTATAAGAGGGCAAGGGATTGCTCCAGATGATGTCTGTTCTCCCTTCCAGCTGCAGGGGGCTGGAGTTCTCCAATGAGAATAACAAACTCCTCCCTTTTCGGAGGCTCAGAAGGTTTAGTGCCCACACCAACTTTATGGGGTTACAAAGTGCTTTCACGCCCGCTTTCTGAATCAGGCAAATGCAATTATGCCCATTTTACAGATGGGAAAGTAGTTTGTGGTCACTGTGATCATAAAATTGGCTGCTGTCTCTTGAGCGAAGCAAAACTGGGGTGATCTGTGGCTCGTGCCAGACAATCTCTCCAAGTTATTGAGTGCTTACGCCAGCCCTGTTTCCATGCCATGACCCCTAACCTCCCAAATATGCTACTTGAATTTGAATTCTAGTCTCTGTGTCAGTTTCTGGAGGAACCTAGCCTAGGATACCTTCTGACTTAGCACTTTCACTTCCTGAATTCTCTCTGACAGAATATTCCCACATGTGTTCAGAGTCATGTGCAAGGAAGCTCAGCTTTGGTAATATTGAAAAACAGACGCATGTAAGTGCCTACAAGCAGGGAAATGATTACCTCAGTTATGTACTGTCCATAGGGTGAAATTCTGTTGTTGTTGTTGTTAGGTGCCATTGAGTCAGTTGTGACTTATAGTGATCCTGTGTACAACAGAATGAAACCCTGCCTGGTCCTGCGCCATCCTCACAATCATTGCTATGCTTCCGCCCATCATTGCAGCCACTGTGTCAGTGCTTCTCATTGAGGGTCTTCCTCTCTTTCTCTGACCCTCCGTGCTGCTGTTAAAAAGATTCTGCAGTGAGACAGGGGATGTGAACAAGGGTTCAGGGGCCTTAAACTACCTGGGTTCAAATCCTGACTCTACCACTGAGTGAGCCCCAGGCCGGTACCTCAGTCTCTTTCTCTGTAAAATGGGGATAATCTCGCCTTCATCACAGGATTGTTGTGCAGATTAATTGAGATACATGTTAAACTCCTAGCACAGTGCTTGGTATTTAGAAATCACTCAGTATCTTTTGGCATTTATTATCTTTCTCATCATTATTTCCATTGATACAGAAAGTTGTCCATGATATGTTGGCAGAGGGCTAAGTGGATGAAGCAAATTTCAGAAACGAGATTTAGGATGGACCCATTTCTGTAAAACAAAATAAACTGTATAATTTCCTGGAAAGGGTTAACACACTAGGCTGCTAAGTGAAAGTTTGGAGGTTCGAGTCCACCTGATGTGCTTCAGAAGAAAGATCTGGCAACCTACTTTTAAAAATTCAGCCATTGAAAACCCTATGGAGCACAGTTCTATTCTGACATACATGGGGTTACCATAAATTGGAATTGATGGCAACTGGTTTTTTAATCAGGAGCCGTGGTGGTGCAGTGGTTAAAGTGATTGACTGCTAACTGAAAGTTGGCTGTTCGAAACGACCAGCCGCTCTGCAGGAGAAAGATGTGGCAGTCTGCTTCCATAGAGATTTACAGCCTAGGAAACCCTGTGGGTCACTATGAGTCAGAATCCACTTGACAGCAGTGGGTTTGGTTTTCTCTTTTTTCTTTGTTTTTTTTGGAAAAAACCAAACCCGTCTCACTACAAGGGAAGTCAGCACAACTGGACTAAACCAAAGCTAAGAAGGTTCCTGAATACAGTCAAACACTTTGAGGGATTGAGTAGCAGGGGTAGGGGTCTGAGGATCATGCTTTCAGGGGACATCAAGGTCAATTGGCATAACAAAGCTTATTAAGAAAATGTTCTGCATCCTGCTTTGGTGAGTGGTGTCTGGGTCTTAGATGCAAGGGGCCATCTAAGATGCATCAATTGGTCCCAACCACCTGGAGTAAAGGAGAATGAAGAACACAAAAGACACAAGGAAAATATTAGCCCAAGAGACAGGGCCACATAAACCAGAGACTTCATCAGCCTGAGACCAGAAGAACTAGATGGTGCCCGGCTACCACCAATGACCGCCCTGACAGGGAACATGACAGAGAGTCCCGCATGAAGCAGGTTCAGAAAGGGGGGGTGCAGAACTCAAATTCTAGTAAGAAGACCAGACTTAATGGTCTGACTGAGACTGGAGGTACCCTGGAAAGCATGGCCCCGGACTCTCTGTCAGCCCAGAACTAAAACAATTTCCGAGGCCAACTCTTTGGACAGGGATTAGACTGGACTGTGGGACATAAAGTGATACTCGTGAGGAATGTGCTTCTTGGCTCAAGTAGATACAAGAGACTAAATGGGCAGCTGCTGTCCGGAGGTGAGATGGGAAGCAGAGAGAGTTAGGAGCTGGTTGCATGGACATGGGGAATCAGGGGTGGAAAGGAGGGGTGTGCTGTCACAGTATGGGGAGAGCAGTTAGGGTCATATAACAGTGTATGTATAAATTTTTGTATGGGAAAAAATTAAAAAAAACAAGCCTGTGCTGTCAGGTCGATTCCGACTCATAGCGACCCTATGGGACAGGGTAGAACTGCCCCCATAGAGTTTCCAAAGAGCGCCTGATGGATTTGAACTGCCAGCCTTTTTGGTTAGCAGCTGTAGCACTTAACCACTATGCCACCAGAGTTTCCTATCAGGTGTAGATATAAATGTAGGGAGCCCTGGTGGTGCCATGGTTAAGCACTTGGCTGCTAACCGAGAGGTGGGCAGTTTGAACCCACCAGCTTCTCTGCAGGAGAAAGATGTGGCAGTCTGCTTCCGTAAAGGTTTACAGCCTTGGAAACCCTATGAGGTAGTTCTACCCTGTCCTGTAGGGTCACTATGAGTCAGAATCGACTCAATGGCAACAGGTTTTTTTTAACATACAAATGTAATGAAACTGAGAAACGTCCATAAGGGTACGCTTCAAACGGATCAAGGAAGGGCCTGTAGTAAGAGGTGGGATTATGCAGGGCAGGGATGCAAGGGAGAATTAAAGAGTCTTTATATATTTTCTGATTTTTTTGAAAACAAATATGTGTTCATGAACTACTTATGTTAATTTCAAACACAAGATTATTTTAAAAAATGTAAGTGCACAGTTGGTGCCCAGAGAGTGTGAGGAGCTTGGAGACCAGGTTGGAAGGGGGTGATCTTCAGCTGCCTAGATGAGCCTGGTCCAGTCACCCACAGAGTCTCTGCCCCTGACGCCTCCCCCCCACCCTTCCCACAGTGCCGAGACGTGTGTGGCCTGAACATCTCTGACCGCTGTGACTTCATCCGGACCAACCCAGACTGCCGCAACAATGGGGGCTACCTGAACTACCTTGAAGGCATCTTCTGCCTCTTTCCCCACAGCCTCCTCCCTCTGGCCATCACCCTTTATGTGAGGCCCTGCCCCTAGGGAGGCTGGTGAGGGGGGCTAGTGGCCCAACTGGACACTCACACTTCCTTCCCTCTGGCCCTCCCACCAGGCTATCTGGCTACTTTACCTGTTTCTGATTCTGGGAGTCACTGCAGCGAATTTGTGAGTTTGGCCTTGTGGGCACACCCATTTTATAGATGGGAAAATAGAGTCCCAGCAGGTTGACATTCAGGTGATCCCCAGGTTTGAGGGAAGGATGGGGCTGTTGTGTTGTTAGCTGCCATTGAGTCAGCCTCCAACTCATGGTGTCCTCATGCACAAAGGAACAAAATGCTGCCTGGTCCTGTGCCATCCCCACGATCGAATGTAAATTGGACCATTGTGCTCCATAGGGTTTTCACGGGCTGATTTTCTGAAGTAGATCACCAGGCCTTTCTTCCTAGTCTGTCTTAGTCTGGAAGCTCCACTGAAACATGTTAAGCATCATAGGAACACACAAGCTCCACTGACAGATGAGTGGTGGCTGCACGTGAGGTGCATTGGCCGGGAATTGAACCTGGGTCCCCTCCTTAGAAGGAGAGAATTCTACCAGTGAACCACCATGCCCCAGGATGGGGTTAGGGAACTGGTAATTGTGGAAGCATTCAACTGTTTGCTTTTTCTCCGCAGTTTCTGCCCTAACTTGTCAGCCATTTCTACCACCCTCAAGCTCTCCCACAATGTGGCAGTATCCTTTTGTCCAGGGAGGGAGAGAGCAGTTTGGAGGGAGGCTGGGGGGCAGAGTGGAAGCCCCTGACAAACAGACAGCCCCAGTTGCCTGCGACCCCTGCACTGACCCTCCTTGACACCCTCCCCCCATGGCGTCACCTTCCTGGCCTTTGGGAACGGTGCCCCTGACATCTTCAGCGCACTGGTGGCTTTCTCGGACCCACGCACAGCCGGCCTGGCCTTTGGGGCACTGTTTGGTAAGAGCAAACCCTGGTGGGGTGGGGGCAGGGGCAGCAGGAGGGGGCACAGGGCAGGCTGAGCTGTGCCCACGTCTCCTCCAGGTGCCGGTGTGCTGGTCACCACGGTGGTGGCTGGCGGCATTGCCATCCTACGACCCTTCACGGCCGCCTCCAGGCCCTTCCTCAGGGACATCATTTTCTACATGGTGGCCGTCTTCCTGACCTTCACCGCACTCTACTTTGGCCGGGTCACGCTGGCCTGGGCCCTGGGTGAGCAACCGTGGGGCTGGCGCATCCTGGGCTGATGGGTAGGAGGCACAGGGACTACCTGGGGACAGGGGGCAGCCAGCAGGACATAGAGTCAGGGTTCATTTGATTCTGAGTGACAGATCTGGATCCAAGTCGGCTGGAGCAAAAAGGGAACGTGTTCAGATAACCGAAGTGGGCAGGGACAGAGGCAGGGTGATGATCAAAGTGTTTAAAAGCAGTACCTCTGGGATGCTGACTGGGAGCAGCAGACTTCTGGCAGCAAGCACACTCCATTCAGATGGCTGAGACATCAGTGGAGAGACTATGCACTGAGGGTTAAGACACCAAAGCACTCAACTACTAACGTAAAGGCTGGCAGTTCGAACCCACTCAGCGGTGCTGTGGAAGAAAGGCCTGACGATCTGCTGCCTTAAAGATTACAACCTAGGAAACCCTATGGGGCAGTTCTACTTTGTCACATGGGGTCACTATGAGTCGGAATTGACTCGATGGCAATGGGTTGGGTTTAGTTTTTTGGTTTAAGGTGACCATCAGGATATGCTGAAACTCACAGGGACCAGCCATGGTGGGAGCTGCAGGGCCTGGGAGTGGGGTGACTGGAGCCCAGTAAAGGCTGGAGCCATGGAGACAGGACTGCCCACTTGAGCTGCAGTCATGAAGGATCACAGACCCTGTGGGAGACACAGCACCACAGCAGGGAGACAGTGGGGAAAAATACCCCAACCTCTCCTCCTGCCTTCTGATTTCTTCCTGGGCCTCCCATTGGCTGATCCCAACTGTAGCCAGGGCTTTGATGATGCAGTCATCAGGGTCAGCCTCCCAGGGCACAGAGCAGGACCCCAAACCATAGCATTTGAATGGGGTCCTGGAGGCCGCTATCTATGCCAGGTGTTACCTCCTTTATTGCTGGATTACTAGGGGCATGGGGACGGGAAGATGGGTCAAGGAAGGCAGGAGGGAGTGTGGGGGGCTCAGGGAACTGGCCATTTACCTACTGGTACTGGGCTGGCCTGAGACAGCCACCGCTAACGGACACCAGCAGTAGAACAGCAAGCCCTTGTTCTCTGGGCCCTTCATCCAGGATGCCACTTGGTGACAGCCCGCACCCTGTCTGCAGGTTACCTGGGTCTCTATGTGTTCTACGTGATCACTGTGGTTCTCTGCACCTGGATCTACCGATGGCAGCAGAGGAAATCCCTGGTTTACTCCATGCCAGGCACTCCAGGTAAGGGTCTGAATCAAACACCTGAGAGAGAGCAGATTAGTGGGCACTAGGGCCCTCTGTGCCCCCCACTACCTCCTTCTCTTCCCACTGGCCCTGCCAAGCCCATCTCCTTGACTTCACACTTCACACCTCTAAGGTCCCACCTCCATGCTTTTGCTTGTGCCTGTGAAGCCTCCTCCTCGCCTTCTTGTCCAAGTTCATTGGTTCTTCTTCCTCCATGTTGTTGCCAGGCAGTCTTTCTAAGCGGGGGGTCTCTGCTCACATCCCTTAATGGCTCCCCGCTACCCTCAGGGGGAAATCCAGACACATCTATGTACACAAACACGTCCACAGTACACACACACACTCACACAAATACATGGGCGCACTCACAAATACACATACAACACACACATATATACACAACTACACACAAAACCCATACACACACTCACACAGACAAGTACATATGCACTCACAAATACATAACACAACACACAAACATACACAAATACGTCACACACACCTGCATAATTTATCACGTGCCTGTAATCTGCTAGGCACGTGTATCACTTCATACATTCCTCTCAATAGCACTTTGAGGCAGACGATTACCGTTTACCTTTTGTGGATAAGAAAACTGATTTAGGAGGTCGGGTCCTCCCAGGCCAGAAGGCTAGAGAGGGACAGAGTTGGAGCTCAAACTCTGTTCTCTCAGACCTCAAAGGCCACCCCCCACTATTAGATAATTTCATGGCACTTGCTAAGAAATCCAGAATGAAGAAGGCCTGGATGGACACATGCACCCTCGAAACTGCCCGTCCCAGAAGTGCCCCCTGCAGCGGTGTGTGTGTGGGTGGTGGGGGGCAGACTCCTTAGCTGGACTCACACAGACGCCCCTCTCGTCTGCAGAGCTGCTCTCAGATGCTGAGGATGAACGGGTGTCTTCTAATACCAACAGCTATGACTATGGTGAGTCTAGCACCTGTGCCCAGGTGGGGCAGGGGTGCCAGGGCAAGGGCTGGGGTGGGAGATGCGGGGATGGGGCCATCCAGGCCTCGGCCCCAGGAATGAGTCTCCAAGCCAGCCCAGGCTGAGCCATGGGCCAGGTCATCTGCCCTCTGCGAGGAACCCGGTTTTTCCTCCTCCCCCAGGGTCGAGAGAACTGGTGGCGGGAGGGGGAGGGTTCCTGGAGGCTAAGGGAGGCATAGCCACATGTCTCCCCCACCCTCTGTCCCTCCCATACACATAGGGGATGAGTACCGGCCGCTGATCCCTTACCAGGAGACCACGGCCCAGATCCTGGCCCGGGCCCTCAACCCGCTGGACTACAGGAAGTGGAGGAACAAGTCTATCTACTGGAGGGCCCTCAAGGTGTTCAAGGTAGGAGAGGGGGACCCTGAGGACAGGCTCACAGTGTCACGACAGTGCAGGACATTGGCCACCCAACCTTCTCTGGCTCAGCGAGAGGGGAGGGGGCCAGGGTCTGCTGTGACCCTCTGAGAATAAATCACCTCGGACTTGATGGGGAACCTGAAGCGTGGAGCATGACTGATGGCTGCAGCTGGGGCTCCGCCCCCATGGAGGAAGGAGAGTGCCTGCCCAGGGACAAAGAGGAGGAGGAGGGGACCACACCTGGCTAGGCTGAGGGTATTAAGGTAGGGACATATGTCAGTCAGGATTCTGTAGAGAAACAGAACCAATAGGGGATGTACATATAATATCACTTAATTACATTAACATATATAATATTGCATAATTACATTTATAACATTACACAATTACATTAATACATATCATAATGTTGTTGCTATCTGGTTGATTCCCACTCGTGGGGACGCATTGTGTGCAGAGTAGAACTGTTCCATAGGGTTTTCAAGGCTGCAGCCTTTGGGGAAGCAGATCGCCAGGACTTTTTCTAAGGCGGCTCTGGGTGGGTTCAAACCGCCAACCTTTCAGCTAGTAGTTGAGCACGTTAATGGTTTGTGCCATCCAGGGATTCCAGTGTAATCACAGGGTCCTTATAAAGGAAAGTGGGAGATAGGAGCATTAGAGAAGGAGATGTGCAGACAGAAGCAGAAGTCAGACTGATGTGGGGCCACGAGCCAAGGAATGCGGGTGGCCTCTAAGAGCTGGAAAAGGCACGGAAACGGATTCTCCCCTAGAGTCTCCAGAAGGAGTGCCTGATTTAGGACTTCTGGCCTCCAAAACCGTAAGAGAAGAAATGCATGTTGGCAGCCGCGAAGTGTGGGGTAATTTGTTACAGCAGCAGTAGGGTCCTCATGCAGATGCTTGCCTGGCGCCTGCTCACAATCAGTACTTCCCCAGCAGCAGCCTTGCTCTGAGTAGCTGAGGTCAGTCTGTGTCCCCCTGGCGACACTCTCCCCTCTGCCCACTCAATAGTTGCCCGTGGAGTTTGTCCTGCTCCTCACGGTACCTGTCGTGGACCCCGACAAGGATGACCACAACTGGAAACGGCCCCTCAACTGCCTGCACCTGGTGACCAGCCCCCTGTTCTGTGTCCTGACCCTGCAGTCGGGGGCCTGTGAGTATCCCCTCCTCCACACCAGCCTGACCTCCTCCTCCCCTCCTTCCAGAGCTTTCTTCTCAACACACCAAGGGTGCCCTGGGCCAGTGGTAGAATCCTGGAGATACCCATACCCGGTGCTGTCGAGTCGATTCCAACTCATAGCGACTCTATAGGACAGAGTAGAACTGCCCCATAGGGTTTCCAAGGAGCAGCTGGTGGATTTGAACCACCGACCTTTCCATTAGCAGCTGAGCATTTTAACCACTGCGCTACCAGGGCTCTTAGCAGAGCCAGTGAGTGAGACAAAAAAAAAAGTCTTGATAGATGTATCTGGGCAGTCAAATCATCATTGCCTTTAAGATCAGTACTAACTCCCTAGTGGTGAAAAAGGTGGGGTATGGAGAATTCTAGAATGTTCTATCTGCCTACAGGTTTTCCTATCCTTAGTGTTTTAGTAGGAATTCTCTAGAACCTTTATAACTTGCTAATAGATTGGCAGAGTCAGTGAGGAAGGGTGTGTCTGACTCACTCTACCTTTCATGGAGCGACGCCCATCCATTAGTACTGCCTGGCTGGAGGGTGCTCCCTTGGAGCACAGTTGGATAAAAGTATCATGGTTGATTAGTGATGCCTGCCATGGGGATGGGAAAGGGTAATGGTGGCGCATCGTTTTAGCCGTTCTCATCCTAGTTTCGTTGCCATGGCAAGAAACAGCAAAAGGCTGGAGAGTCTGTTTTTAACATGTCTTTCTTTTCTGTCAAATGCAACTATAGCTTGAGGGCAGGGGCTGTGTCTTTAATTTCCCTGTGTTCCCCCTAGAGTACCTAGGGCAGGTCTGCGCACATAGGAGGCATTGGTGTTGTATCTAAGCAATGGAGTCTGAGTGGTTTTATCCATGGGTCTTACCCCACGTCTCAGTCATTCTGAGGGACCTCAGAAGGCGGTGCTGAGCTGAGGCTGTGGAGGGTACTAGCACCCTTTCTCGTCCCTCTGCAGATGGCCTCTACGAGATTGGCAACCTCCTTCCCGTCTGGGCCGTGGTGGTGATCGCGGGCACAGGCTTGGCTACAGTGACCTTCTTTGCCACATCCAACTATGAGATCCCTAGGCTTCACTGGGTAAGAATCAGGCTCCCCAAGCTGAAAGAGGGAGACATCCTGGCTGCATCTCTGGGGCCCTTTGGCCAGTAATCACTTTCTCTTATGGCAGGTGTATAAACTTTAAAGCCACTTTGAGGCTTTTTGTATCTGTTCAGAGGCTTTTTTTCTTTTTTTTTTAAACTCATTGCAGAGAATTTTTTTACTTACTATTGGATTCTTTTTTTTTTTAACAGCTTTAATTGAGAGATAAATTTACATACCATACATTTCACCCATTTAAAATATAAAATTCAGTGTTTTTTAGTATAGTCACAGAATTGTACAACCATCATCACAATTTTAGGACATTTTTGTCACCTCAAAAAGAAACCACATACCCTTTAGCCATCACCCACCCCCATCCCCGCCCCAGTTCCCCCAGCCATAATTACCATTAGTAATCTACTTTCTGGAGCCCTGGTGGCACAGTGGTTAAGAGCTCAGCTGCTAACCAAGAAGTCAGCAGTTCGAATCCACCAGCTGCTCCTTGGAAACCCTACGGGGCAGTTCTGCTCTGTCCTGTACAGTCACTATGAGTTGGAATTGACTTGACAGCAGTGGGTTTGTTTTTTGGCTTTTAATCTACTTTCTGTCTCTATGGATTTGCCTATCTTGGAAATTTCATATAAACAGAATCATATAATAGGTGGCCTTTTGTGACTTACTTCTTTCACCTAGCATAATATTTTCAAGGCTCGTCCATGTTTTAGCATGAGTCAGAACATTTCTTTTTATGGCCGAATAAAATCCTGCTGTATGGATGTACTTTCTTTTTTTTAACTGTTGCACTTTAATTGAAAGTTTACAACTCAAGTTAGTCTCTCATACAAAAATGTATACATACATTGTTATGTGATCCTAATTGCTCTCCCTATACTGTGACAGCACACTCCTCCTTTCCACCCTGGATTTCCCGTGTCCATTCAACCAGCTCTTGACCCTCTCTGCCTTCTCATCTCGCCTCTGGACAAGAGCTGCCCATTTAGTCTCATGTATCTACTTGAGCTAAGAAGCACACTCTTCACAAGTATCATTTTACGTCCCATAGTCCAGTCTAATCTTTGTCTGAAGAGTTGGCCTCGGGAATGGTTTTAGTTCTGGGTGGATGCACTACATTTGGTTTATCCATTCATCAGTTGATGGACATTTGGGTTGTTTCCAGTTTTTGGCTACCATGAATAATGCTGTTAAGAACATTCATATGTAAGTCTTCACGTGGACATATGTTTTCATGTCTCTTAGGTAGATCCCTAGGAGTGGAATTGCTGGGTCAAATGGTAACTTTATGTTTTAACTTTTTTAGGAACTGCCAGACTATTTTCTGCTATATTAACGAAGAAGCCTCTCCCCATTTTACAGATGGGAAACTGAGGCTGAGTCTCTATTGGGGGCTGGCCTTGGTCCCATCAGTACACTGTTCCCCCCGCAGCTGTTTGCTTTCCTGGGCTTCCTGACCAGCGCCTTGTGGATCAATGCAGCTGCCACGGAGGTGGTGAACATCTTGCAGTCCCTGGGTGTGGTCTTCCGGCTGAGCAACACGGTCCTCGGGCTCACGCTGCTGGCCTGGGGGAACAGCATTGGAGGTGGGTCGTGCAGGTGCCCCCTTGCCCCCAAGCCCAGACTCAGGGCTGGGTGGGATTCTGGACTGAGTTTGGCCACATCATAGCTTTGTGCTCTGCCACATCATAGCTTTGTGCTCCCCCAGCCAACGTTGCATCTGGACAGGGTTGTCCAGGGCATCCCCCAAGCATGTGCTTGGTGCCCACTGTCATTTGGGCATTGAGGTGAGGTGGCCTGGACTGCACTTGTGCTGGGAGACTCTATAGTGGCCGGAGCCTCTACCCCGCTCTCTGACAGGTGGACACTTGGTGGTTCCCTAGAGTTAACGCAGGGCAGAGGCTCATTGCAGACGACTGAGCTGAGCGTGTACATATGTGTGTGACATGCAGGCATTCACACACACATACATATACCTTTCTGTAGCTAGAGCTGCTGGGTAAGGCTAGCCAGCTTGTGCATTGCACAAGAGCATCCAGACAACAAGGGGGCAGGGGGCTAAAATCCAGCCCTCCTTCCATTCACCTTTTTGGGTACCTTTTTCTAATTCACACAGAGGTGCTGTGGGTGCTAGCAGTAGATGGAATTTAGGGGGAAAATTTACGGCAGAGGGTCACCCAATCCCCACAAAGTTGCCTCTGGTGGGGAGGAGTGGGTTAGGAGTATAGGAGGGCATTGTGTCTTATGGGACGCTGTTGCTCCCCCCAGCACTTAGTGGGGTAGTGCCAGGCTCAGGGCGGGCATCCATTAATATTTATTGACTGAATGACCATGGGCGAGAGGGACAGTGAGTGACCAAGGGCAAGGGGGCAGTCGTACTCCTCTGAAGGCCTTTTCTGGTTTCCTCAGATGCCTTCTTGGATCTCACCTTGGCTCGCCAGGGCTACCCGCGGATGGCGTTCTCGGCCTGTTTTGGTGGCATCATCTTCAGTATCCTTTGAGGGGCTGGCGGCTCGGGCTCTGGGAGCCATGGGTGTGCTCCGTGTCCTACCCTTGGGACCGGCTCTTGCTGTAATACCTCGGGCAAGCAACTGGCTGCTTGAACCTCAGGGTCCTCATCTGTAAAACGGGGATATTGGGAGGACTGAGCTCATGGGCTTGTCGTAAGGATGGAATGAAGAAATGCTTGTACCTGGGAGCACCCAGTAGGTGGCCGTAACCCATTGCCATTGAGTCGGTTCTGACTCATAGCGACCCTTTAGGACAGAGTAGAACTGCCCCATAGGGTTTGCAAGGAGCGGCTGGTGGATTCGAACTTCCGACCTTGGTTAGCAGCTGAATGCTCAACCACAATGCCACCAGGGCTCCAGTAGGTATTATTATTGTTAAGGCATTGGTGTTATTAGTAGATGCCCACGTGGTGAGCTTGTGTGTGTCCTGTGGAAGACTCTCTCCTTCTTGCTTGTAGGGACATGCTATGGTCTATATGAGGTATTGGCAGACTTTTTCTTAAAGGACCAGAGAATAAATATCTTTGGCTTTGGAAGTCATAGTCTTTGTCGCAACCACTTAACTCTGCTGATATAAGCAGCTGTAGACAGTACATGAATGGGTAAGTGTGGCTGTGTTCCAATAAAACTTTATCTATAAAGGCAGGCAGTGGGCCAGATTTGCCTTGCAGGCTATAATTTGCCAACCCCTGGCCTATGGAGAAAATGCAGGTATAGGCAGCATGGGGCTATGGAACCCGACAGTTGTCAGTCCCACTTTCAGCGCTGCCACTTGCCCTGGTGTGACCAGGGGCACATGCCTTCTTCTCTCTGAACCTCTGAAATCTCTGTAAATTACAGATGGGCTGGGGTGAATTGACAGTGAGTTACAGCACCCAGGACAGTGCCCAGCACATGGCAGCATTCAACAAGTGGCAGATGCTGTGGGTTGTTAAAGAAAGTAATATTTGTTAAAAAGCACTACAAATACAGCTCTCCCCATGAGCCGCAATGAAAGGGCCTGCGGTGGAGGCAAAACACAGTTAGAATGGGCAGGGACTGCCTGGGGCCCCTGCTGTAGGTAACCCCCAGGCTGAACAGGGCCCTTGGGACCCTTCCATGCCCCCAGGCCTGCTCCTGGCTTTCGGGCTGTGGCCTCTGCTGGCCTCTCAGATTGGGGATGACAAGGAAGGAACCCTGCCTGGAGCACTGTCCCCTGAATACCTCCTAGAGATGGCCTTGATCCACACACCATCACCAGTTTCCCCAAAGGACCATAGGCAGGGCACTTAACCTCCCCTAGCCGCAGTTTCTCCATCTACTGAGTGCTTACCAGGTGCCATGTATTTCTGTCACCTCATTTGCTTCTTATAAACCGAGTGCAGAATGTACATGCCACACCCACCTTTTAGAGGTGCTAGAACTGGATAGGGTCTCCTCCTCAGTTTGTGGGGTTTTGTGGGGTTTTTTTGAGGGGCAAGGAGGGGGAGACAAGGGGAATAGATGGTAAAGAAAGCTGAGTTCTGGCCTCTCTGGGCATCCCAAGCCCCTGGGGTTGAACTTGGTAGGAAGGGACAGCTGTGTGGTTGGGGTTACGGGGCAGGTTGTTGGGAGAAAGCTTCCTGAGCCGAGCTGCAGATATCCTTGTGGGTGTGGGGCTGGGCTGCCTGCTCCACATCTCCCGCGGCCACGTGGAGGTGAAGGTGAGTGGGCAGACGCTTCTGGAAGGAGCCCTGTTACAATGCTATCTCCTCATCCTCTTCTGGCCCTCTGGCCTGGGAGACCATTCAGATCTTTGCAACTTACACTTCCTGGAGAAGAGAACTTGTCCGCACTGAGGATTTGTAGAATGTTTATAAAATCTTGTGCACATAGGGTTGAAAAAATGTACTCTTTTCAGTACACAGAGTAACCACGAGGCAGCTGCGGAGGAAGGGGCAGGAAGGCCTCCGATTTTGGTCCTAGTCTAACCTGAGTTGCTTATTGTATGACCTCAGGGTGAGTTAGGGCATCTCTGAGCCTCAGTTTCCTCCAGGGCTTCCAACTGGTTCTGTTTGGGTTGGAACCCCTGCTGAGAATTTGCATTTCTAATAAGTTCCCAGGAAGTTATAGGTAAGAATCACCTGGGAATCTTATTAAAGTGTAGATTCTGATTCAGGACACCTGTGGTGGAAATGCAACTTCTCCATAGGGGTTCAAACTGGAATGAACCAGTTCCAAGCCCAGCTTTTCTTATCTGGAAAATGGGGCTAATGACTTCTGCCAAGTTTCCTAGGTAAACATGCATGAAGCAGGGGACAGGCTGAACACCATATTCCCAACACTGCCCATATCGGGGAGACTGGGATGAGAGAGAGAAAAGAGACCCCACCTGTGAAGCCAGCCCACAACTGGGGCGTGTGTGTGTGTTGGGAAGGTGTTGGGAGGGTGGAACCCAACAGATTTGGAGAAGGTTCTGGGAACATATTGAGTGGCAGAGCTTCTCACACTTCAGGGGTGCCTAACAATTTCTTGGAGTGCATGAGACTCACGGACCCCACATTCCAACGGGTGGGAGCTTGGAATCTGCATTTTTAATGAGCTGCTGCAGTAGTACAAGGACTCCCCAGGAAACACTGTTCTAACAAGGGTCAGAAACACCTGGCAGGGCCAGGCAGGTAGTATAAATGAGTGGAGGGAGGCACGTGGCCTTCCTGTGGCCAGCGATTCCAATTTTCCTAAGGAAGGAGAACTCAAGATACACAGGTGACCTTTTTCTATTTGTAAAATATTGCTCAGGGCAAACAAAACCCCCTGCAAGACAGATTTGACAGTTGCCATTATGGTATCTTCTGAGAGACTTTAATTTACAGACCAAACAAGGTTAGAATGGGAAGGCAGATGTAGCCCAGAGGCTGGTTTTCAGCCTCAACCCAGAGCCCCGTGCAGGAAAGCACTTGGAATGTTGTGAGGCTGAAAGTTGGTGCTGTCGATGGGAACAAGGTCACCCTCCTCTGTCTCCCGGAGGTATCTGGTTCTGAATAGACTCTGGTCAGCTGACTTGTAATTAGCTGCTGGCGGGACCAACCTTTATAATGGCTCCACCCATAAGCAAATGTTACTTAAGGGCTTGAAAAGTTTACTTTTCTGAATAGGTATAGTGTTAGTTTCTTCCAGCTGCGGTAACCATTTCTACCAGCTGGATTGCTGAAAACAACAGAAATTCACTCACAGTTCTGGAGGCCAGAACTCCGAAATGAAGACGTCAGCAGGGCCCTGCTCCCTCTGCAGGCCCTAGGGGAGGATCCTTCTTTGCGCTTTCTGCTTCTGGTGGCCGCAGGCATTGCTTGTCTATAGACAGCATCACTCCAATCTCTGCCTCTGTCCTCAGTGGGCTTCCCCTCTGTGTCCTCTCCCCTTCTTATGTGGACACCGGTCGTTGGATTTAGGGTGATCTCATCTCGAGATCCTTAACTAATTACATCTGCAGACCCCATTTCCAAATAAGGTCATATTCTAAGGTTCTGGGTAGACATGATTTTGGGGGGATGCTATGCAACCCACTACATATATAATATAAAAGCCGGACAGCCTAGAATCTACCGACCCATCCTCTTAGCGGCAAGGGATCCAGCCTTAGGATCTGGGAGCTATTGTGAGTTTTCTCCCTCGCCTACAGAGCAGCTGACACTCTGGCCTCATTGGTTCGTTTCTTCTGTCTTTCCTTCATCACTCATTCATCATTTTATTTAGTTCCCAATCTTTTCTTCCCTTCTTTCTGGTGGTGTGATGGTTAAGTGCTCTTGGTTGCTAACCAGAAGGTTGGCAGTTTGAACCCATCCAGTGGCTCCACAGGAGAAAGGCCCGGCGATCTGCTTCTGTAAAAGATCACAGTCAAGAAAACCCTATGGGGGCAGTTCTACTCTGTCACCTGGGGTTGCTATGAGTCGGAATCAACTTGACAGCACCCAACAACAGCAACCCAGCAGAGGGTATCGGCACAGGTTTTGCAGTCAGGCCTGAGTTCCAATCCCAGTACTGATCTGTGCCTTGAGCAAGTTAGCCAGTCTCTTGGAGTCTTAGTTTTCTCATCTGTAAAATAGAGTTAATTATAGTACCTACCTGGTAGTGTTATTGTTAGATCACACAGGTAATGCTTGTAATGGTGCAATGCTGGCATACAGTAAGCACTAAATATATATATATATAAAAAACCGAAACCAGACCCGTTGCTGTAGAGTCAATTCTGACTCACAGCAACCCTACAGAACAGAGTAGAACTGCCCCGTTGGGTTTCCAAGGAGCGGCTGGTGGATTCAAACTGCCAGCCTTTTGATTAGCAGCCAAGCTCTTAACCACTGCACCACCAGGGCTCCATACATACATATATATGTGGAAAAAAATGGACATACATGTCCACCATTTCCTCAAAAACCATGTAAAGATTTCCCCAACATTTTATTAGGAAAATTCAAACACAGAACCATTGGAAGAAATTATTACACAGAGAACATGCAGATTCCCACCAGCCAGGTGCTATTATGAACATCTGCTACATTTGCTTTATCACCTGCCTGTCCATCTACCCACCCATTCATCCATCCAGTTTTTGGATGCATTTCACAGTAAGTGATGGGCATCGGTGCCTGAACGCCGTTAGCTAGAGTTCAATATTAAACACGTGTAAAATTGTAATGACATCAGACTCGAGGCAGGGGAGAAGCACCCAGGAAGGTGGAAAAGAAGGTCCCTTTCCTGGCTGCTTCTGAGTCTAGAAACGTCTGGGATGACGACAGTCTGGGTGACATCAAGGTGGGGCAGCCATCCCTCAGGGCTGGCCCTTCACGGGCACCTGCAAATGTTAGACTGTGGGTGCAGTCTGGAGGGGGTGGACTGTGATGGCAATGACCCAGCCTCTCTATTGCTCTCCCCAGCTGGAGCCAGACGGATTGCTGGTGTGGGTCCTGGCCGGTGCCCTGGGGCTCAGCCTCGTCTTTTCCCTCGTCTTGGTCCCCGTGCAGTGCTTCCAGCTGAACAGAGCCTATGGCGTCTGCCTGCTCGTCTTCTACTTGACCTTCCTTGTCGTGGCTCTACTCACCGAATTCGGAGTGATTCACTTGAAAAGTGTGTGACTGAAGCCGTGTGTCAGAGTCCGCCTGGTGGCCTGGGGTGTCATTGCAGGCAGGCACCCAGCAGCCTCCCATGAGGGGAGAATTGGCGATGGAGACCCCTTCCATAGAACCCAAATGGGCATGCAACGGAGTGGATGGGATCAGGGCTCCTGTGGGGTGGTTGTTGCTGCTAAAGGTTTGAAGTCGCTGCTCTGTGCAGGGAGAACAGCCAAGTCCCTCTTCCTGCTAGCATCCAACAGTGCCGTTTCTGATTTTGGACAACACTGCCCATGGACTTTGGAGACTGGGCTTTGCTGTGGACAGAGTTCCAAAAGAAGCTAGAGGCCTTTCTTGAATGATCTCCAGAGCATGTCTGAGGAGGGTTAGAGTTTAGGGTGGGTGGGATGACTGGGTGCCTTCCAGGCCGCTTTTGAAAGACACCTGAAGTGTCCCTCCCGCAGTTACCCCTGCTGCCTTCTTGTCCCCCTCACTGGGCTTTAGGCCCGCTGGAATCTTCTCAGGGCTGATGGCTGCCACGCCCTGGTTTAGGAACCAAGGTGATTACACTGCTGCTTACTGAGGTGGGCCAGGTCCCTGCGCCATCTGACAGAAACAGGATGTGAGACACACCCATCATTCTGAATTTTCTAGAAGCCACATGAATAAGGCAAAAAGAAACAGGTGAAGTTAATGGGGACAGATTTTTCTCTCCCATACAGAAATTTATACATTGTTATGTGACTAATTGCTCTCCCCATACTGTGACAGCACACTCCTCCTTTCCACCCGATTCCCATGTCCATTCAACCAGCTCCTAACCCTCTCTGCCTTCCCATCTCACCTGTGGACAGAAGCTGCCCGTTTAGTCTCTTGTATCTACTTGAGCTAAGAGGCACACTCCTCACAAGTATCACTTTATGTCCCACAGTCCAGTCCAATCCAAGAGTTGGCCTCAGAAATTGTTTAGTTCTGGGCTGACAAAGAATCCAGGGGCCATGCTTTCCGGGGTTCCTCCGGTCACAGTGAGACATTAAGTTTGGTCTTCTTGCTAGAATTTGAGTTCTGCACTCCACCTTTCTCCTGCTTAATGGGGACAGATTTTATTTAACCCAGCATATCCAAAATACCATCTCAGCGTGTAGCAATGGCCACGTGTGGCTCCACGCTGGATAGCACAGCTCTTGGCGTTCCGTCCAGACTCTGCCCCGGCTGTGGGCAGACTCCCCTGCTCGGAACCGTGGGCTTCCCCAGCTGCAAAACGGGTCACTACTGACTGCCGTGCACCTACCTCAGGGGGAGGCCGGGCTGGGGGCTCAAGTGTCCTCAGACCTCAGGTGGGCAGGCAAGAGCACGCTGAGCCTTCTTGCCACAGCCAGTGACCCCGCCTTTTAAGCAAGCACCTCCTGAATTTGCCCAGTAGCCTTATGCTGGCGGAAGAAAAAAGGGACTCTTTTTTTCCAAATAAAAAGATGATTAAATGTGTCAAATATACCGAGAACATCATATACCCAACTCTTCCCAGTTCGTCCTCCCTGCTCCTAAGGCTGCTGGGGGCTCCTAGGACCTGAAGGCTTCGAGGCCATCTAGGGTGGGACTGAGGTGGGGTGATGCATGGCCAGGGATGGGACCTCCCCCTCCCCACAATTCCTGGCAGAAACCACGCGGCAGCAGCCAGATTTACAAAGCAGAGGCTCCTTTATTAATACACCAGAAGTCCGGAGACAGTGGCTTCTCTAGGTAGCAAACGACCCATGTACAAAACCTTCCAGCATTCTCCCATTATCCTTACAAAATGATTGTCTGCATGGTTTGGAGTAAGGCTGGGGCTGGGGAGAGGGGAACGGGAGGAGGGGCAGAAGGACTTCCCCAAAGCGCCTTCCCAGAGGTAAGGGCGGGGTGTGACCTCCCCGGGCTTCTATTCATTCAGCTCCGATGAGGGGGGTGAGAGGACAGCTGGGCTAAAGGTCATCCCAGGTCCCTCGGGGGGAGTCCACAGCCCAGGCTGACACCTGTACCCTGCTCTGTGGGCTGTCTGCAGACTGGACACTAGTGAACACCTGGATAGGGCTGCAGTCCCCATCCTGGACCAGCCCCCCCTACCTGTGAGGCCCCAGCTCTGTCCCCTGGGGGCAGGGAATAAGACAGGGCCCAGATTCCCAGGGTCAGAACCCATGCCCTCCTGCAGCTGTCCCTCAAACCCTGGTTCCAAAAGGCTCATTGCAACATACAAAAGCTAAAAGGCACCCAGTTGTGGAAACACTTTCTTCTCTGGAGAGGGAGGGGGTTTGGCCTGGGGCTCAACGCCAGGCTCCATGATGGCCACCGACCACCAGAGACAGACGTGGAGGCCATGTCTCCTGATTCCTGCAGGAACCTCGGGGGGCCCTCAGGATTCACCATTTGCAAAGGGCTATACTTTTAAAAAGGAGCCCTGGTGGTACAGTGGTTAAAGCACTTCGCTGCTAACCAAAAGGTTGGGCAGTTCGATCCCCAGGAGAAAGCTGTGGCAGTCTGCTTCTGTAAAGATGACAGACTTGGAAACCCTATGGGGGGGCAGATCTACTCTGTCCTACAGGGTCGCTGTGAGCCGGAATCAAGTACAAGGAGTGGGTTTTTGGTGCTTGAAAAACAAACACCTGCGGTGCTCCCCTGCTGAGGGGGGCCAATCGAACATGAGCAAGGCTTGGCCTTGCAGAGGAGAAGGGACTGCTCCCCTGCCCACCCAGCAGCTGTGAGGAGGATGTGGTGGGCAGGGGGCCTTGGCCCACCCCACTGTTCCAAGTCACGGGGAGCAGTGGAAGTAGCTGGAAGCTGGGGTCAAGGCCAGAATGCCCACCCGTAGCCACTTCTCTGCCCACTCCACACCTCCTCATCTCTGCCTCCGGCTGCGAGCCCCCACATCAGGTTCTGCAGCCCAGAAGAACCCCAGCGAGGCGACCTCCTCTCAGCCCTGCTCTGCCACCACCAGCATTGCTCAGGGAGGCAACCCCAGGGGCCTACTCTGGATTCGGGCACCCGCCCTGCCTCCACCAGGCTTGATCTCATCAGGCACAACTCCCACCAGGCACCAAGGGGTTGGCTAATCGAGGGTTCATCTGAGCCCATCTCTGAATCAACCAGTTTCGCCCACTGCCTGCTGTCGAGTCCCGGGGAAGTGGGAGCGGGGCTGACAGGCTCAGCTGGGGGAAGCTCTCCCATCCGCAGGGGGCGTCTCTGTGTTGTCTGCCTCCCTTCCCATCAGGGGACCCAACCACAACAAGGGAGGGAGGAACGGTTCCTGTCTTTAGCAGAATCCTTCATTAACCCAAATGCCTGTCTGACTGAACAGGTAAATGATAAGGAAAAGGGATTTCATCACGAAAGCTTAATCCAGAGGTGGTCAGGGTCATAGCCTGCTGTCCTCCCGGCTGGGCAGAAAGGCCTGGAATCCCAAGGAGGCCGTTGCAGAAGGATATTCATCCACAAGCGTTGAAGCCAAACCAAGTTTGGGAGCGAAGGCTTACAGAGCCAGGAAAGGAGCTCCGTCAGCGCAGCACGGTTTTGCTGCCAGCAGCCTGAACACATGACACCATCCCCTCCATCAGTCTCCACCGGGCCAGGCCTGTCCCTCTCGGGACCTCCTGCCACATTATCCCACATAGAGAAATGCAGGCCTTGGGGATGTACGTTCTTCCTTCCTAAGTGGTTTTGTCCCTAAGCCAAACCCGGAAACCCTGGGACCGGAGGCTGCCGGCTGGGGGAGTCTGAAAGCAGCATTGAGAAGCCGAGCCTGGGGCTGGCCTGTGGAGGGCTGACCCGCCTGAAAAGCCAGCCCTGCTGAGACAAGCAGAATCTTTGCAAGCGGTCTTCCTGTGGAGGGCGTCTCTGCACCCTTAGGTGGTAGGAAGGACTCGCAGTGGTCTGACCCCCCAAACCCAACTGGCTTCTGGAGTTAACGAGAACAGGGCAAGGTGGTTACAAACCAAACCCCATCTTCTTTTTCCTTCTACATATAAATATGTGCATATATATGAATATGTGCATGTGTATATATATATATATATACACAAACACATACACATATATATACACCTATACACACATGATTTCAATACATCGTAGTAAAATAGTACTATTGTGTTATTGCATAGAAGAAATGGCTCTTGCAAGCTGGGGCTAGGTGATGGTCTGGGAGTGCTGACGGCTTCCTGGGGGCTGCTGAGTGCTGGGGACCCCGCCGCTGCCACCGAGCTGTCGTTGCTGTTCCTCCTGCTTCCGCGCGTGCTCCTCGTACCACTCCTGGGGCAGAGAGCAGGTGGGTGCTGAGCGGGCTATGCCCCTCCCAGCCTCCTGGCCAGCCCTGTGCCTCCCCCAGGCTGACAAGGTCACCGCACCATGGGGGCAACAGAGGTCAAGCAGTGCTGGACTCTCAGGCCCGCAGTGGGCGGCAGGGGCACACCTCTGCCTGCCAAGTGAGGGGGACCACCCAGGACAGAGCAGGCACAGCTGCTGGCCACAACCATCTGGGACCCCCTCTCCCATACCTGAGTTCCAGGCACTGCCAGTAGCAGCCCCAGTGGATAATCCCATACCTCCCCGCCAAGCCTTCAGACTCCACTCAAGATGGAGACTGGCAAGCAGCCCCCACTCAGCAGGGGTGAGACTCACTCCCAGGACAGGGGCGGTGGTGAGGGCCTGGGCAGTGCAGCCGCGGATGCTCCTACCTGGATCTCTTCTTGGTACATCTTTAGGCTCAGATCGCTCTTAGTCCTGGATCTCCGTCCCAGAAACACCACAGAATTTTGCTAAGGAAGAACAGAAGCTGGAGGGTCCTCTGGGGCCAGGACCAGGGGCTGGGCCTCTCCCACTCCTCAGGCTTTGGCAAAGGGCCAACCCAAAAGTGTGACACCATTTGAGGTGGCGGACACCAAAGGAGGGACGACACCAAGCTGAAGACCACCCAGTGTCACTGAGGCCCCAGGATGCTCGCGTCTTTCCTCACCTCGTACCGCTCCATCTGGGAGAGGGTCTTGAGCAGCCGGGTGATGTCGGAGGTGGCTCCCCGCACCTCCCTGTAGAGCTCAAGGATGGTGACCAGCTCTTCTTTGGAAAGCTCCTTCTCGAGGGTGATGCCACTGTCCACTGTGAGAAGGGTGGCAGAGTGGGAGAGAGCCCGGGGCTGGGAGCCACCAGCCTGGCCTGGTCTTCCTTAGCCATCCTCCCTGCTGCCCCCGCCGGGTCTTCAGGCTCCCTCTCCCAGCAGAACTGTGGGTCCACACAGCAGCCCCTCTGCCTCTCTATGTCACATCCTGTCCCTCCCTCGGCTTGGGATGTGGATGTCAGGAGTGCTGGCTTAGCCAGCAGCTGACAGAAGACACAAGGTTTCAGGAGGGAGGCTCCAAGACAACAGACAGCTTATGCCACAGAGATTTGGAGACAGTAAGAGGTATAAGGAGCTCTGGTGGCACAAATGCTATGTGCTCGGCTGGTAACGAAAAGGTTTGTGGTTCAAACCCACCAGTGACTCCACAGGAGAAAGACCTGGCCATCTGCTTCCATAAAGATTACAGCCTAGAAAACCCTATGGGGCAGTTCTATTCTGTCACATGGGGTCACTATGAGTCAGAACTGACTCAATGGCATGCAACAGTAACAAACAATAGGTATGGGGCAGTGTTGGTGGAGGATATGAAAGAAAGAAGGATTGTATGCAGAAAGCTGTGCACCTGGAAAACGTCCACCAATTATTAAAGCCAGGATGACTAATACGCTGCAGGAGGAAGTACTGTTTGGCTCTGCAGTGAACAGTATTAACTCGATAACCAGCCGAATGAGCATATTGTTTAGAAATGTGGAGATAACGAAACCAAGTAATAGCTAAGAGTTCAAAGTCTCTGGGAGAAAGACGGGGGTGGGGAAAGGTAGGCTCCAACTAGCCATCCAACCACCTAACCGACCAGTTGCCATTGAGTCAACCCGGACTCACGGCAACCCCACGTGTGTCAGAGAAGAACTGTGCTTCATAGGGTTTTCAGTGGCTGATTTATCGGAAGCAGATCAACAGGCCTTTCTTTCGAGGCACCCCTGGGTGGACACGAACCTGCAAACGTCTGGTTAGCCGTGAGTGCGTTAACTGTTTGCACCACCCAGGGGCTCAACACAGGATAAGGTAATTGCTAGTTTTCACAATAATTCCTACTATTTGGTTTTTCTTAAAGTATGACATGTTTTGTTTTTTATTTTAAAAAACCAGATCATGAGCATTTTTCCATCATTAACGAGTATTTGAAAATCAGGGCAGATAAGAGACCCAGCAAGACAAGCCAGATAGGTAAGCTGAATCATCAGAAGGCTGGACAGCCAGACAGCTGAACTGTCAGACCACCGGACAACCAGAAAGTTGACCACTAGAGAGACAGAGATGGTGGCCAATGAGTGCCCACGGCACCGACTCTGCACAGACCTTCTGAGTCCTGGCTTTTGCGGCTGTAGTTCATTCGGAAGACAAAGGCCTCAAGAATGAAGGCGACGATGATCGTCATCACCACCTGGCCAGAGATGGGAGAGAGAGAGAAGTGTGTGTGCTGTGCTGCTGCGGGGCACCAGACCCAGCAGAGCCGTCAGATGGGACAGCCACCCCTTCCCCTCCCCAAGGCTGCAGCTCCTGGTAGCAGGGTGGCTGGAGATGTTGAAGGTGAAGGAGGAAGAGTACCCTGTGACCCAGGACCTACCATGGTCACGATGTAAAAGGTCATGAAGTAGAGACGGCTCCAGTGGGAGGTCTGAGAGGTGACGCCTTCCTGGGGATAGAGGGACGCAGCCACATGGTGAGCCTGAGCAGGGCCATGTGGCTGTCCACTCAGACCCAGAGCCAGGCATCACCTGGCTTTTTACAGACCTCTTTGATCTGCCTTTGGTTGTGGGGGACAGAGGAGAGGGACCCTGCTCCCTCGGGTCTCACATGTCCTCTCTTTTACCTATGCCCTGGAAGTACCCCAGGACACTAGACTTAGGACGAGTCCAGTCTTCGCCCAGGTGGGGATGAGATGTGGAGAGTTTAAGGACTGGAAAAAAGAAGGCTTGCCACACTGTTTCTGGATGGAAAAGTCACCTCCAGTGGCAGGGGATAGGACAGAGCCTCAGAAGCTAACAGACCCTGGCCACTGGGGAGTGCATGGAGGCAGGGCTGAAAGCCAGTCCAGCGAACGTGAGGGGGCAGCTCCTGGCGGGTACAGCCAAGGCCCAAGGCTCCCAGGGTCCCGCCCACACTGGCCTCCCCGCAGAACACAGCCCAGCGGACTCAGGACCCCAACCATGCAGCGTCTGGGGGACAAGGCACCCCACACAGGGTGAGGGAGACACAGAGCTGGCCTCAGAGGATGGTGGGAAATGCCCAGGAGTTGACCATGATTCTTACCATGATGATGTACCAGTTGTTGACAACTGTGAGCTCGAACAAGGTCACTGCCAAAGGGAAGGGAGGCAGAGAAGGGTCTGGATCAGCCCACTTTCTCAAAGTTAGTGTCTTTCTTTCAATTTCATTGTGCTTTAGGTGAAAGTTTACGGCGCAAATTAGTTTCTCATTCAAAAATTTATACACAAATTGTTTTGTGACATTGGTTGCAATCCCTGCAATGTGTCAGCACTCTCCCCCTTTCCCTTTCCACCCTGGGTTCCCTGTGTCCATTTGTCCAGTTTCATGTCCCTTTCTGCCTTCTCGTCTTGTTTTTGGGCAGGTGTTGCCCATTTGGTCTCATATACTTGACTGACTGAAGAAGCACATTCCTCATGTGTGTTACTGTCTGATTTACAGGCCTGTCTAATCTTTGGCTGAAAGGGGGACTTTGGGAGTAGCTTCAGATCTGAGTTAGCAGGGTGTCTGGGGGCCATAGTCTCGGGGCTTCCTCCAGTCTCTGTCAGACCAGTAAATCTGGTCTTTTTTTTGTGAATTTGAATTTTTTTCTACATTTTTCTCCTACTCTGTCTGGGACCCTCTTCTGTGATCCCTGTCAAAACAGTTGGTGGTGGTACCTGGGCACCATCTAGTTCTTCTGGGCTCAGCCTGGTGGAAGTCAAAGTCAATTTCTAGTGGCCTCTGTCCATCTATCGTCTGTGCCATGCATCAAAATGATGGTGTCCCCATCAGCTAGCTTGGGCTGTGAGCTCTAGGAGAAGCTGCTGGGGCCCGCCCAAGTGCCTGCTCTTGGGACTTCTGCCATTGTGGCCTGTCCCCAGAAGGATGTGTCCTTTGCCTCAGAAGCCCATGATGGACACAGCTGTGACTTGGGTACAGGAGAAGGAGGGTGGAAGCATCCACCCTGTACTGGTGCAGGTCTGGGGTTGCGTTGAGGGCCCCCTGTCCTCTTGAGAAGCTGTGTCCAGCAGGGCCATTTCTCCCCTCTGCCCACCAAGGCCTCTCCATGGAACCAGACACAGGGTTGAGGGGAACTGAACTGGGGGTAGCACAGCACTGTGGCAGTGCTGGTGTAGCTGGTTCCCACTGGGACAGAGGGGTAGCACCCCAGCACTGGGCCGCACGCCTCCCAGCTAAGGCATGAAGCTCTTCCCCTCCTACCCGGAAAAAGGAGTAAGATCTGGGGGCTGAAGGAGCCTTGGAAGCTGGCCTGCCTCCACCCCTACAGCTGGGCACCCCCACCCTCCAACTGGGCCAAAGAGGAAAGGACTGGAGAAAGCGGGGCCAACAGCGAGGTGCAATACACTGGGAATGTCCTGTGTGACAAAGGTGGCATGCACAGAACGTCCCCCCTGTGGTTTCTCAACTCACCGAAGCTGTTGAGGATGTTATCAAAATTATTGAGATAGTAGTAGCCTTCCTCCACCACGGTCTTGTTGCCAATGGTGTGGTTGACCCAGCGGTAGGCATCTGCGACTGTGCTCGTGCTAACCGGGGAGACAGGAGGTGGAAGGGAAGGTCAGAAGCCAATCGTCACCTCGACAGAGGACAAAAAGTCTAAGCAGACCACAGAGGTGGATCTACAGAAAACAAAGGCTATGGCAAGCACTGAAATTACGTCCCTGAGCAGGGCTGCAGTGGGGCTAACGAGCACCCAGGGGCAATCTCTAAGTCACCCCCCAATTCAAGCATCCAGGGACAATCTCTAAGTTGCACCACACCCAATTTCAAGATAAATACACGATAGCAGCAGTGCGTCAGCTGAACTGCCATTCATATTTGTGGTGCCTTGGAATATCATTCTGGGCCTCATCTGGTGCCCCCTTGGACTTGTGCCAGGACAAGTGCCCCCTCTGCCCCCCTCCCCCCCACCGCCCCCACTATGCCTCTGTGTCTTCTGTGCTTGAGGAAGGACACTGGGCCATACTGGGTTCATAGAAACTGCTCGGTGGCACCTCTTCCCCTTCAAGTGGCGCCCAGGGCACATGCCATACCCCCCACACCTTAGATACGCCTCTGGCAGACCAAGCTAGGACCAAGAATCCTGCTGCCTGCCTCTCCCCTGGCTCCCTGTCCGGTCCTCCCTAGCTCTCCCACATCCTGGAGGGAAGGGAGCCCTCGGCTCCTCTCATCTGCTCGGCTCCTCCTGCTATCCGCCTTCACCTGGCATTTCCTTGCTGCTGACTAGGCCTTGGTGCTCGGCTACCAGAGGGGACACTGCTGGGCAAGGGGAAGAAAGGCCAGTGCCTCCTGTGTCCCCCCAGCTAGGCTTTGCTCTGGAGGCTGGTGCTCTGCAGCGGCCCTGGACGGAAAGTCCTCATCGCGGTGTCTTGTACTGTCTCCCGAGTGCACCATGTGCTTTAAGAGGCTTCCCCTGTTTGGACACCTTATTTGCCACTCTCCTTCCAATCCAATGCTTTATGGCTGTCTGTTAAAGTCCATGCCAATGTTTCTAGAAGTCTAGTCCTTGGACCACAGGGAGATGGCTCAGACGGCAGAGTCCGAGTCTCCTGCCAGACACCCTGCATCAAAGCTCACGTGGGGCCTGGAATTTGCCTTTAAGAAGCTCCCCTGATGATTCTGATGCCTTTTTAAAGCCTGTGAACCATGGACACAGGCTTTCGGCTCCTAGCTTAGTTTGATACACAAAACGGCTACCTGGGCCTTTGGAAACTGTGGTGTTATCAGTACCTGAGGCCGGGGGGCAGGTTTAAGGGAGAACAAGGTGGATAAGCAGGAATGGCAGAGCACACTGACTCACTGGCAGCTGAGGAGGGAAGGAGAGGGGGAGGGGGAGGTCCTGGGAGGGCTGCTCCCTGCTCTCTCTCCCTGAACCCAAAGACCTACATGCTGTGTGTCCATCTGTCTTATCCTAACAGACTGCCCCTGGGAGATGTGTCTCCTCCCAGGCCCCCAGCCAGTCCTGGAAAGGAGTGGGAAGATGCCAGGGGACTCAGGCCTCAGACTCCTTCTGGCTCTGGGGCAGCCTCCACCCCCAGCCCAAAGGTTGAGCCAATCCCGCTGGCCCTGCTCAGAGGATGGGAGACTCTCCAATGTGGCCGCTTCTGAGGCCACCTGTCTGACGCAGGGCCTTGCTGAGTGACCTGCACTGAGCTAAGCCCTGAGAGTAAAACAGAGTGACTCCTGGGGCTTTCAAGGCACTGAGGCTCCCGGACATGCTAGGGTCAAGAGGGACAGCTGGAGTTTGTCCAGGATATAGGCTGCCGGGCTGGGCGGGGCAGGGCCGTGCACACTCACTTGCAGCAGTTGGGGTAGAGGATCCCACAGAAGAATTCCATGCCCACGATGGCAAAGGAGTAGTAGAAGATGAGTAGGGTGAGGCCCAGGCTGGGGAGAAGGTCGACACGGACGGGGTGAGCTCAGGGTGCCGGCAGCCTCAGCATCCCCAGACCTTGCCCTGACTGTGGACAGACATGCCCCTAGCCAGGTGCGCCGACTGGAAGTGCCTGCAGGGGAGGGGCCTCACGATTCAGGACTCTATGAACAGATGCCCCTTCAGCAGAGACATCCCCCTTACCTGTGAAGGCAGACTCACAGGTCACCCCTTACCTGTGAATGTAGACACAGGTGATAAGTGAGGTGACAGCTCCCTGCCCTCCCTACTAAACATTCCAGACAGGTCTTGTGGCGGGCGGGATCTTGTCCTCCTTGAAGACCCACCAGGCCCTCAGTTTCAGTCCTTCTCGGGACTCCCCCTGTCCCCCTGGTGTCCCCGACCCCCTGACCCTATGAGGCCAACCTCCCGAGGCCTGGACTGGGGCCCAGAGGCAGGCAGTACCTGGCCATCCGCGGCAGCAGCTCGAACATGGTGTCCAGCACATTGCGGTAACGCTTCTTCAGTTTAAACAGCCTGAGCGGGGGATAAACACGAAGCACTCAGTGATGCAGGGGTGTGGCCTCGGCCCACTGCTCGCTAAACACGCCAGAGCCCCGCCTTGATCCCCACCATGGCAGTGGGATGGGCTCAGGGCTGCTCATCAAGCAGAAGGTTCAGTATCCTCGGAGGGCTCAGGACCCGCCAGCCCGGCACCTCTGCTCAGGTAGCTCATGCACATGTGGCACCAGGACATGGGCTGCAGGGGACTCTTCCCTGAAGAGAGGCAGAGTCACCCTGTTTCTCCTCCTCCGTCCTCCTCGCAGCATTTGACTTGGGAGAAGGTGGCCGTGACAATTCGGCACAGTTCACACATGAAGCCAGGAGGCTCCATGTGGGGCAAGGCCTTGCTCAGGGTGCTGTGGTGTCCCCGAGACAGAAGCAGGCCCCTGCACCCGCAGAAGAGGAGAGTGTGGACTCATGAGTAAGGAAGGGGCGAGCAGTATGGACTGCAGCGGGCATTCAGGCCCAGCCCGCAGGCCGCACCGCAGGGGGAGCAGGCTCTTCTCCAGAAGGACGTCCCCGGGATCACCAGCCACGCCTGCGCCTTTCCTCAGGGAAGGAGGGGAGGGGCGATGGGTAGGCAAGAGGAAAACCCACGCCTCTTAAAAGCGCGAGATCCCCGGTTAGTGAGACACACCATGAGCCGTGTTCTCAGAACAGCCATGTGTTGGTCGATGGAGAGTGCTTTACTGGGAAATGGTGAGACTTGCCTGAGGGTTTTTCCTGACAAGAGGCTCTGCCACAAAGGCATCAGAAAGGGCCGCTGGAGGGGTCTCAAAAGTCCACCTGACCCTCAGAGTCTGTGGCCCTCTGGTCTATGACCTGGGTGTGTTTCTACAGCTGCAGCTGAGACCACCTCAGGCAGCTCACCCCACAGGGAGGTGTTCCCTTCCTAATCAGAGGTGCCTGGGCACAGTGCCCCCTCCTGGTGGAGACACTGACCTCCTGCGGGGCTGGAGGGTGGTGCTGGCCACACAGGGCTGGTGGCTGGTCCCCAGGCCCCTTCCCACACCAGCTCCAGGGCTTTCCCACCCGCCCTCAGCCCACCTCTCCCCACCCGGAACACTGCCCTGTCACCTCAACAGCTGGAGGGGACGAAGGACTACTATGAAATAGAACGGCTCCATGTTGAAGGCCAGAGCCAGCAGTCCCAGGAAGGCGAATACCGTGACCGAGAAGTCGAACCTGGGAGAGGGGGAGAAGCCACAGTCCATTTGGCCCACCCCTAGCCTTCCACACGACTGAGCCACATCCGTGAGCCCTATTCTCAGCACACACACTTCCAAGGGGCCCAGATACAACCCAGCACAACCCACAGCACACGGAGCAGCGGTCCACAGTGCATAGCTTCGGTGAGCCACTTCTTGCCGCCCTGAGGTTCTGATGTTGCCTCGGCCTGGCCCAGGCTCAGTATGTCTCAGGGTTCAGGCCTGAACTCTCTGGCCCTTGGGGCAGAACTGACGGAACCTTTCCTGGCTGCACTGGTCAAGGACAGAGAGGAGGGCCTCCAGCCTCTGCAGCGCTCACCATAGGCCTCTTCTTCCCAGCAGTAAAAACCAAACCCATTGCCACTGAGTGGATTCTGACTCATAGGGACCCTACAGGACAGAGTAGAATGGCCTCACAGGGTTTCCAAGGAGCAGCTGGTGCTAACCTTTTGGTTAGCAGCTGAATGCTTAACCACTGCTTAATTCATGACCTGCCTCTGACCCTGAAGAACTAACTGGGGGCAGGGGCAGCGTCTGTAGATAAGAGTCCCACCTGAGAACAGCTGGCCCTCCTTTAAGACAGCAAGCTTCTGTCCCTCTACAGATACATGCTAAGACCCTGCAAACAGCAAGACACCCATTCTTACTTTTCTTCTTGGGCTCTTCTCTACTTATTAATTTGTTTTACCCTCACGACCTCTCAGGAGTCCAGCCTGACTTCGCAGGTGAGTTAACACTAATGGGCCGAGGATGTAACCTGCCCAAGGTCTCAGTGGACCAAGAAGAAGGGCCACTTGGTCTCCTTGCGGCCACCAGCTTGCTGCTTTACAAGGGAGGTGGTAGAACTTTCTTCCCCCTCTGTGTACACTGTGGTTGTTACAGAAGAAAAAGAAGCAAAGTGGCTGGGGTAGGTATAGGGGGTTAAAAGTCCTTAAAAGGCCCTGAAGAGCCAACCAGCCTCAGAAACCTCAGCAGGACGTGTCTAGCAGGAACTGGCACAGATGGCCTCAGAGACCTGAGATAAGACACCGGCCCTGAGTGTTCCCTGGCCACACGCAGGTACACCAGGAAGACAGGGCCCTGGGCCTATCCTCAGGCCTCCCTCTCCAGCTGCAGAAACTGTGGGTGCTGGGGGTGTGTGTGGGGAGCGCATTGTGGCCGCCATTTGTCTCAGACCCAACCAAGAAGCATGCTGTCCACTTACAGGTTCCATCCCGAGGACAGATACTCAATGGGGCCCAAGCCGGCAACTTTCAGGAACAGCTCTACTCCGTAGACTGTGAACAGGAGGAGGCAGTCAGCTGCAGCACCTACCACATCCTTCCCCCCTGGGCTGGGTTTCCTCCTGAGGCCTCTGCAGGTCTGCAAACGCCCCTATATGCTGCGTGTACTCCCCACTGCACCCACTCACGCCCACACCCCGCTGGAGAACATGGTGTGGATTAGCTGGGGCAACGTGGGTAAGAAGAGAAACACTTCCTTCCCCTCTATGGGAATGGCCCAGCCATCCATCCTTCCATCCAACGAATATTTCCCAAGCCCGTCCTGTGCCAGGCATTGTGCTGGGTGCACAGTGAGCATGCGGCACAGTGCCTGCTCCCACAGAGTGCATGGTCTGGTGGGAGGGAAGGCAGGTAGACAGGTGGTGACAATACAGTGTGTTCAGGGATGTTTAGACTTCAACTCTAGCAGAGAGGGGTGGCAAAGGGAAGAGTGCACCAGGCAGAGGAAATGGTACATGCAAAGGCCCACAGATAAGAAAGGGCATGGGGCACTTGGCGACAGAACGTTGTTCTGGAAGGCTAGAGTATGGTGTGAGGGCAATGGTACTGGTAAGAGGTGAGGCTGAGGAGGTAAGCCATAGGGGCCATGGCCGGCAGGCAGCATGAGTCACACCTAGGATCAGGACTGGAGAACCACTAAAGGGCTTTAAGCAGGAGCGGGATGGGATCAGAATACATTTCTGCTCCATTCTCCTTAAGATGCCCTGTTTTGGAGAAGAGCCATGAGATCCTAAACCAAATGCAAGTTTTCCAACCCAGTGTCAGCAACTTACTCGTAAGAAAGACGATGTAACTCCAGGGCACGTGTTTGGAGAAGAAGTTCCCACCTGTGAGAAAGAAAAGCCATAGCTCAATTGGAACATGGCCAACCAGAACACGGCCAACTGGACCATGGCCAGTCCCAGCTAGGGCTCACCTTTCAGCATGAATGTTTCCACCAGGATCCAGATACCATTGACGGCCACCACCAAGTCTGCAGACAGAAAGAAAGGACAGGTGGGCTTGGGTATCTAGAAGTCACAGCTGCAGAGATGAAGCTCTGGGGGATGTGGAGAGCAGGGCTGCACCATATACCCATTTTGACAGGTGATTTCTTTCCATTAGTGCTTTCACCACATGAGCTCAATCAACCAGTGGTTTCATTTAGAAAACAGGTATTTCTGAACACTCTCAATGTTACTGCGGGGATACCAGTTAAGATGTTTCAGTAAACCCTACAGATTATTCCTAGTCAGTGTAAAAGGTGGACAACAGACAAGGGATTCAAGTATTGAAAACATCTGCTTTCCCCTAGAGGTGTCTGATTTTAAAACGACTGCGTGAACCATTTAGCAGAATTGCGTGGACAATTTTCACCTAGCAATCCCACTTCTAGGGATCTATCCCAATGACGCACTAGCAAAAACACAAAAAGATGTATATACTCAAAACTATTCACTGCAGCACCGTTTGTGACAGCAAAAAAGTGGAAACAATCTAGATGATTATCAGCAGGGGCTGGTTGAATCAACCATGGTACATTCACAGAACAGCAGAGCTATAAAGTGGAATGAGGAACACCTCTATATATTCAGATATATTTTTAACTGGAAAAAGCAAGGTAGAAAAAAATGCATAAAGTATGCTATTGTTCATTTAAGGCAAGGAGATGTAGATATATATGTATTTACTTATATTAAAACAAACCAATAAAAAACAATGGAAGGGTAAACCACAAAGCAAGTTACTCCACTGGAGGAGGTGATGGGAATATAAACTAAACCCTTGTAGATTTGACTTTGGAACCATATGTACACAGTTATAAAACAAAACTAAATGTAAAATGCAATCCCTGGTGGTGCTGTGGTTAAAGCTCTCAGCTGCTAACCGAAAGGTCTGTGGTTTGAGCCCACCAGCTGCTCCACAGGAAAAAGATGTGGCAGTCCACTTCTATAAAGATTTACGACCTTGGAAAGGCTGTGGGGCAGTTCTACTCCGTCCTACAGGGTCACTATGAGTCAGAATTGACTTGATGGCGGTAGTTGTTATTTTTTCGGTAAACATAAAAAATAAAATGAAACATAAACCTGAATGTGTATCCAGTTGGTGACATGCCCACATGGAAAGGAACTATTCCAGCTGACCTTAAAACATAGTGATCTGAAAGTACAGTCCAGGAGTGATATGCCCTAAATTACACAAAGAACTAAGAAAAAAAAAAAAACTTTCTAGTAATTATATCAGTGGGATTGTGTTGGTATTATTATTCTGAGCTATTGTGTGTGTGTTGTGGGATAAAGCAAATGAGTGATTGTGTTAGTGTTGGTGGGAACCTGGGTTTTTGGTGCCAGAGTAAGGAGATCATATGTAAGGTTGATAAAGTTAGGTAACACTCCTACAGTCCTGAATTTGAATTAGAAATATGAGGATGAACTTACAATATAGTTTATCTTCAAAAACACAAAATCCTAGCTCTGTCCATGGAAAAGGCAGAGAAACAATAACCAACCCCAAGCAACGAACACCTCTAGCATTGCAGATTGTGGTCTCTAAACACCATTTCCCATCAAAAGGAACCAGAACCCATTGTCCGTGAGTTGATTCTGACTCATAGCAATCCTTTAGGACAGAGTAGAACTGCCCCATAGGGTTTCCAAGGCTGTAAATCTTTATGGAAGCAGACTGCCATATCTTTCTCTCGTGGAGCAGCCAGTGGGTTTGAATTGCCAGTCTTTCAGTTAGCAGCCAAGTACTTACCCACTGCACCACCAGGGCTCCTAAAAGGAACCAGAGTGCCTTGGAAAGACTGAATCCAATTCAGTCTCTGGATTGGTACTGTTCCAGAGAACTTTCTGTGATAGTGGAAGTTTTCTCTCTCTTTTTTGTCCAATTGGTAGCCATTTTTGGCTACTGAGCACTTGAAATGTGGCTTTTAAGACTAAGGAACTCTAATTTTAATTAGCTTAGATTTAAACAGCCACATGTGGCTAGTGGCTACCATGTTGGATTGTGTGGCTCTGTATATAACTACCAAATTACAGGGAACAAACAACAGCAGAACATGAGAAAACCAAACTGTGTAAAATCTAAAGGATAAATAACCCTGTTTCTTTAACTAAATACTGCAAGAAAAAAAGGCAGGGGGATTGAAGAGGAACCTACAGATTAAAAGAGAGTTAAGAGACATATCAAGCAATCACTCTCAATGGTCCTGGAATTTGCTTCAGAAAAATTTGGGTCTAGAAAGGGGATGGTGGTCCAGAGTGAGAGTCTAGGTGAAATAAGAAAAGACAGGCCATGAGACGATAATTGTGGAAGCTGGGTGATAGGTACATGGATGCTTATTCTAATCTTCTCTCCATTTTTATACATGCTTGAAATTTTCTATAATAGAAAGCCAAACAAATGATTGTAGGAGTAATCTCTTGCCTCTCCACCTTCTAGAACAGCAAAGGACTCAAGAGGAAAGGGACCTAGAGCTGTGACATTTCACACTTACACATGAAATACTGGAAGGCCTTGGACTTCACCAGGATATTAATTCCTATTGGAAGAGACAAAATGGTAAAATCAAAATTTTCATCTGAAAGTACACGTTCACCTACCATGTACTCATGCACGTGGCCCATCAGGGGTTCTATGCCCAGTGGTGATAACGGAAGGGTCTGCTCTAAGAATGACACCCCCACTTCTGCTCGGACCACCTGACAAGACTGCACCGACCGCAGCTGCTCTGGGGCCGGCCTCAGCAGCCTGGAGCCAGGACAGTAGAACAAGCTTTGGTGACCACCACTGCAACTTCAGTTGCTGTTTGCCCCATTCTGGGACTTTATTCATCCACGTAATCATCATCCCAGGGGACTGAAAAACACTCTAAAGAATATGGGAATAACAACTGTGCCCAAAGGCCCAGCAGTGGGAGAACCACAGAAACAGAATTCACCATCTTTGCTCTTGTTCGTAATGGCCTAGACCCAGGCTTCAGGCTTTTTGCCCGAGAAATTCTGTGAGCTAACCATACTCCCACATGGAGCTTTGAAACTGGCGTTAAATTAAGGCACAACTGTTAGGCCAATAATACGGGCATCGTAATTAAATTTTTTTGAATTTTATTTACTATGCAAGCATTAATGGGGATCATATAAGCTACCTATATATTCTGCCACATAAGGATGGTCAAGATACATTATTAAATGAAAAAGCAGGGTTACAGAGCATATATAATGTAATCCCATTATTTTAAAAACGCACAGAAAATAACCAACAGGAGGAAACACATCAGAGATTTAACAGTAGTTATTTCTGGGTGGCAAATTTTCATTTTCTTCTAATTATCTGCCTTTCTAAATTTTCTTCAATGAATATTGCTTTTGTATAAAGAAAAAGCCACGAAGTGTCCTGGCTTGGTTTTCAAGTTACCAATTTTGTTCCTAGTCCAACGTTTACTGCCCTGCTGTTCTGTCTCTCTTACACGTGGGCATTCACACACACACACACATAGATATACCATCTGAACATGCTCTTCAACTACTCCCCTGTCATCTCTGACAGCCTCTCCCAGCGATCAGGGCACCATATTGGTTTTGGGCTAACCTTACCTTTGAAGATGAGAAATGCTGTCCTGGGCAGCTCATCAAACCAGTGCTCTCTATTTTTCTTTGCCTGGCCAGGAAAGGAAACATGGGAGGGGGTATCAGGGCTCCTTCTCTGCTTGCTCAGCTAACTTGGGGAACAATGTAAACACTCAGGGATCTCAACAATTGAGACGGCCAGTGTGCCAGAAACTGCCACGCACTTGCGTTAGTTTTATATAATCCTCAAAACAACTCTGTAGGTAGCTATGATCATTATCCCCTTCTGCAGGTGAGACAAGCCTTGGAAAGGGTCAGTAACTTCCTTGATGTCATCCAGTGACTTCTAGGCCTAACTGAGATCCAGTGCTCTTAACCACAACACTGCCCCACAGATGGAAGGAGCCCAGGGGACACCTGTTCTCCCTGAAGTACACACTGCCAAGCTGAGAGCTGGGCTGTTCTAGTGGGGGAAGAGCTAGCTCTCAGGGTGCCTCCCGTCCTCATCACCCACTTTGCAGTCCCTCCGCCCACTCCATCCCTCTCTTGCCTCACAAGAGCACTCACCTTCCACTTCAAGGCGGCGACTTCGTAGATATCATAAAAGTCCTTCAGGCTGTCAGAGCAGAACGAAAAGGCAAAACAATCAGAGCATGTTCCCATGAGCTTCAGCCTCTCACTGACCTGCCCATGACTACCTTCACGGGGTGAGGGTAGGAGAGGAGGAGGGGACCTCTTGTGTATCCCAGCACATCAGTGAAGCAGGGGATCCTGACCCGCAGCCATTTTGATCTCACCTTTCCTCCGCGTACCATGAATACCTAATCCAGGTCTGCACTGATTTACAGTTTCAATTCCCCCTGGAAAGGCAGCCCCCAGATGTCTGTAATTCTTAGATGGGCAGAAACTTAGGGTCTCTCAGCAGACGACCTACATGGAACAACTGGGCCTGTGAGTTCAGCCCAAACCCAGCTCACTTTCATCTCTGCTGCCTTGTGCATTGATAGGTTTGTGGTCATGAATAGTGCAGGAGACTAACGCTGCCCACAGAGATCTTGGGGTCAGGTTTTTAAGGCTGTGCCAGGCTTGCATGTGTGTGCGTGTGTGTGCGTGCGTGCGTGTGTGCGTCCTTGCTCCGTCCCTCGGGCTCACATGGCTCACCTATGCCTCACTCGTGGCTCTAGGGCAAGGAGCCAGACCGGTCAGTGAGCACATCCCTGCTCCCCAGGCCCCATAACTGCTTCCTGGATGAGCACATGGCTCAGGATGGGCGGTGAGACCCTCCCTGTACCCCTGCCCCACCACCAGCTTCTGCTAGAGCCTCTGCTGGGAACACAGAGCTCCTTTTCTGCTGGCTGGGGGTGGGATGTAAGCCTGGAGTGGCTCTCTGAGGGGGAGGGCCTGCGTGAGCATGAAGCCAGCCTAGGGCAGCACGGGGGTGCAGGAAGCGCCAGGGCGCAGGAAAACACACACCCCAACGAGATCACTGAGCACCTGTATCCTGCTTTACCCTGGATTTTCCAACTTACGAGCCAGTACATTCCTTTTGTGTCAAGCCAGTTTGCACTAAATTTGGGGTAGACTTTCGTCACTTCCAAAAAGAGCCCTGACAAATACAAGCCTATGTGCATAAAGACCTCTGAAGAAAACAAAGAGTCTACCGAGACTCTTTGCCAACCCACCTGCTGGCACCTTTGCAGGCCCCTGCTCCCACTTGTGAATGCCTGGTCTGGCTGCACTGCCCCTCTGTGGCATCTGCTCTTACCTGAGCTGAGGCGTGTTGCTCTGGTTCAGGGCCTTGAAAGTAAGGTAGCGCTCGCCAGCACTCATCCGCGGCTTGTAGAACCTCATCAGGCCCTCAAACTGCCTGTAGGAGATGCCAGCGGGCCTCTGGGGGAGAGGGGAAGCTGTACTGTGGGACACAGGAAAATGCAAGCCCGAGACACCCCTTCCCATGGGGCAGCACTCAGATCCCAGGGCCCTGCTATTGCTCTCCCATGGACTGGGCTCCTGGTCTCCAGAGCCACTGGCCACACCATGCTTAGCGCCAAGGAGCAAGGGAGGGAGAGCCCGGTCCAGCCCCCTTCCAGGCCCCACTCCTTCCTACCCGCCGACTGATGAGCAGGTGGTAGGCATGCTGGATGGCAGTTCGCTTATGTAACAACAAAGACTTGAATTTGCGCTTCTCGATGTCATTGAAGGTGTCAAACACCACGGCCAGAAGCTGTGAGGGAAAAGCAGAGATTTGGCTCCTGACAAGTCCTCAAGTGGTTGGAGGCGGCCCTCTCATGCAGCCGCCCCAGAGCATAGGCTTCAAGAGACCCTCTCCCAGTGCCTTGAAGTATAAAAGTCCGTCTCTAAGTCTCAACAGGGGAAAGCCCTTCACGGCCCCTGGTACATTTTCTGTCTTCAGGTATATGAAAACGGTTGCTATCAAACTCTCCCCAGCCTCCCCTTCTCTCCAACCTTCATCGTGTCCCCGGCTGGGCAGTTTTATAAGGGGAGGAGAAAGCAGTGAGAAGAACATGCCTGGGTTCTAAGCCCAGCTCAGCTCCCTACGGCGGCCGGGTGGAGGCTCTGCGTCCACCCCATGCCCACTCCTGTCCAACCTCGCAGCAGGAAGGGACATTGTTATGCTGGATGGTTCCTCACTCTGTCCTCTTGTTACCTCTCCTGTGAGTCACAGCTTTACGAATGGTCCCAGAAATAAGAGGAAGGAGGAGGCCTGCACTCAAGGGCACAGCATTCTGGAATCGCCTAATACCAAAGCCACGCAAGTTAGCTTCTAAATAATACAGTCTGTGTTACCAGGAGGGTGGGAGGGCAGGGGTAGAAGTTGAAAGAATCCTTTCTGGTAAGCTTTTGTTTGTCTTTCAAAAATGTTTTGAGGGAAACTCTTGTTCTTTCGACCCCTTTGCACAAAGCACTTTGCACAGTGCCTGGCTAAGGCTTAATAAGTGCCAGCTTCTATCATTATTACAGTACGTATTTGCTCCAAGAACGAAAATGTCCCAGTGTATCTTTGTCTTAAAATACAGCTCTATCAGCAGCAGCCTGTCTTCCGAGGTGCCTCTGGGTGGGTTTGAACTGCTAAAACCTTCGGTTAGTACTCCAGCGCTTAACCATTTGCATCATCCAGGCCTGGTAATTTGTTTCCAAAAGGTCACAGGCTTGAAAACCCTATGGAGCAGTTCTACTCTGCACACATGGGGTTGCCATGAGTCAGAAACAACTTGACAGCAATGGGTTTGGTTTTGGTTGGTTGTGTCCTCTTAACCCAGTGCCGCTGAGTCAATTCCAACTCCAAGTGACCCTACAGGACAGAGTAGAACTGCCCCATAGTGTTTCCAAGGCTGTAGATCTTTACAGAAGCAGACTGCCACATCTTTCTCCCGTGGAGCAACTGGGGGTTTGAACCACCGACCTTTTGGTTAGCAGATGAGCACTCAGCCACTGTGCCACCAGGGCTCCTTTAAGTGGCCAGAAAAAAGGATGCTGAGTTTAAGAAATGGAGCGTGTGGTCTGTGCTACTAAATTTTGTCAAACGGACAGCCCAAGTCCTACCTGGTTTACTTTAAAGGGCATATGGTTGTGGTTCAGTCCCTGGGTGGTGCAAATGGTTGTTATGCGCTGGACTGCTAACCAAAGGGTTAGTGGTTCAAACCTACCTAGAGGCACCTCGGAAGACACCTGGAGATATGCTTCTGAAAGGTCACAGCCTTGAAAACTCTATGGAGCAGTTCTACTCTGCACACACGGGTTGAGTGAGAATCAACTCAACAGCAACTAACAACAATCAGCAGCAGAAGCACTAACCAGTGAGGCTTATCGCGGGCTAGTAAGTCCTCCTCAAATCCTTCCCAGGCGTTCCTCAATACCACACTTCACTACCAGTCTCAGACTCCTTCCCCAGTGTGCTGCCCTTGGAGGCCTGGGGCCATCCTTACTTCTCCGTTCCCACGGTGCCCAGCACTGTGAGGCTGGGCAGGCAGGTGGAACCTGAGGCCTGATCACTCACCAAGTTCATGATGAAGTACAGCTCGATGGAGAGGTACACGATGAAGAAGACGCAGGACCAGGGGCTCCGTGAGTAGGACGGCATCATCACATCTGGGAAACTGTATGTGCAGACCGTCACCCACAGGGCCCTGTGTCTGCCTCTCTCCACTTCTCCAAGGACATGCCTTACAAAGGACTTCTCTTGTTCTGCCCTCCCAGCCTCCACCCTCTCCCCTCCACCCAGCTGACTCTCAGTCCATGGACTGCATGGCTCCCCATGCCAACCCGTCTTTCAACAGCAGCCTGGCACCTCTTTGCTGACAGGGGGAGAAGGCCCTGCAGCACCGGCAGAGGGCAGAAGCTAAAGCAGAGACCAACTTACTTGGCCGTAGTCAGAAGGACAAACAGACTAATGATGCTGTTCTCCAGGGTGTTGAAGTACTACAAGGGAAAAGGAGTCAGAGAAACACATGGGGCCAGCTGAGAGCACACAGCAGCCAGGAACAGGCGGTGACAGTCACCTCGCATGCCCTTCCCTCCCTCTCCCCATAGCCTGTCTCCTCCCAAGGAATCCCCGAGGGACGGCAGAGGAATGAGCAAACGAGGGAGGCCATGGGACTCCGCCTTCCTGAACCCGATGCGATGCTTCCAGGAGAAGCAGACAACTGACTTCGGGGCTTTTCTTCCAGAGAACCACAGGTTTGGGCAGTTAGCTTGCCTCTTCTCCATTGTTCTGCCACCAAAATGTTCCAAACCTGACTCTGGAAATATCCCTCTTAGGGAAGGAACCTGCTCAAGTCTGGCTGAGGGGAAACTTGCAGGTACCACAAGCTACGATGAGAAACCAGGCAGGACATCCCTTTCTAGTAGGGTCTGAGGGAAAAGACCCCACGTGAAAGGAAGAGGCAGACACACAGGCTGATTACTTACAGGGTCTGAAGGATTAGTGGAGAACAAGTAGAAACCTAAAAGGTGGTGGAAAAAGACAGAAAAGGTTAGAGCAGAGATCACAAACCCAGATGTCAAGAGGATTGGACAAATAAATGTAAATGAGTGCAGTGGGCTAAGTGAGGGCAATAGGGGGTGGTGGGGACTTTGACACATAGGAGAACGTGTGGTTTGTCTACAGGACCAGGTGCTACTCGGCATCGGATGATTGATGCCATGCGGGAACGCGGCCCAAGTATTGTCAAGTCTATTATGAAAAAAGGCTGGAAATCTGCATCTTTATGTGATTTTAATGCTGGCGTAAATTTTTCAGACCAAACAAAAACACATCTGTAGGCTGGCTTTGGAATCCAGACTGCTGGTTTGCAATCTTCGGTTTTGAGAATATGACAGCCAAGTAACAATTCCAAAGGGATCCCATTGTTCCCCTGCAGCCAAGGTTCCTGGGGTGGGAACACCATGACTCTCCTCCCTCCCAAATCCTTGGAATCCTGACAGGGACAAGGGAGACATCTCTTTGCTGAGAGGTGGAGAAGGCCCTGGGGCACCAGCAGAGGGCAGAAGCTAAAGCAGAGCCCAACCAACTTACTTGGCCATAGTCCAAAGGACCAACAGACTTCCCCCTCAGGGGAAGTCAGTCCTGCTGGAGAAGCACAAATGAAATTCCTTCGAGAGTGGGTGGAGGGTAGGGGGAACTGGAAGCCAGTGGCTTCCTGGGCTGGGACGGGGCAGGCATGGGGTCCCAAGGGACTCAGCCCTGGCACTGGACTCTGGTTGCGATGTCATCGATAATCGCGCAGTGCTAGAGGAAGGACCTCGGGTTTGCCAGCTGTGTACAGGGGACTCCGCCATTTAAGCCTATGTCTGGATGAGCTAGCCACGTAAACTCACAGCCTCATCTGAAGAGGCCAGGCCCCACAAAGTGAGAAAGGATGTAACCCTGCTTTACAAGGGGGTGTGGAGGCCCCGATATCCAGGTATATGCATGCCTTAGAGACACTCTCATGCACGGACACCAGGAAACACACGAGAATGTTCACTGCACAGCTACGTGTATAATGAAAACAGCCCAGCAGCAGAAGGACAGATAAATATTCATACAACGGATCACTACACACCAGCAAAAATAAATGAACCTCATCTCTTCGTTATCAACATGAGTAAACATCAAAAACATAATGTGGAACAAAACAGCAACTTGCAGAAGGAAAACTCACATTATGCAACCATTTATATAAACTTTTTAAATACACAAGCAATACCACCTGTTGCGTAATGAAACGTCGATGTGAAGTAAAAGTGTAAAGACACGCACGGGAATGAAAAACAGGACAGGGGTACATCTTGGGGAAAGAGGGACTCAGATCACGAAAGAATAAAAAGGTGGCTTCCGTTTTCTTTCTAATACTCCATTCTCTAAGCTGGGTGAATGTCTAAAAATGTCAAAGTAAATGTTTCCTCCCCTGTGGACTGGCCTTTAGAGACGCCTGAGTCCTGGGCGTGGGTGACTCACCGAGGATGGCAAAGATAATCATGAAGAAGAGCAGCAGCAGCAGGATGTCCATGAAGGGCGGCAGGGACTGGAAGATCTGCCGCAGGTTCCTGGGGGGAGAGACGAGTAGGCGGGGCATGCCGTCTGCAGCCCCTCGGTGCGGTGCTCCCTGGTCCAGGTGGGGGTGTGCCTGACTCAGAGAATACTAAATCCTGCTACACTGTGGCTTGTGACACTGGGCTTAGTTTTTTCCTAAAGTGGCTTGAGACTCATCCACTCAGCAGGTGACCAGGCAGACCTGGGGCAGGTGCAGTGCTTGGCCACCTCTTCCTCCTCACAAAGCCCAAGCAGGAGGGTGCGCTGAAAGGGGAAGGAGTCACAACGGCTGAACATGTGGCCTTCAGTGCACAGGCCAGCTTCCCTGCACAAGCTGTGGGATACATGAAGCCACCTAGCCCTGGGACACTTGTTTCCAGCTTTGAGGATGGGCACAGAGAATAAATTAACCCACTGCTGTTGAGTCAATTCTGACTTATAGCAACCCTGTAGGACAGAGCAGAACCACCCCATAGGGTTTCCAAGGCGGTAATCTTTACAGGAGCAGACTGCCACATCTTTCTCCCAAGAAGCGGCTGGTGGTTCAAACCCCTGACCCTTCTGTTAGCAGCTGAACGCTTTAACTACTGCGCCACCAGGGCTTCTTAAAGAATAAATTACTAGCCCGCTACCATCAGCAGTACCTAGCCACAAGACTTTCCATATGGAGTTTTCCAAATAAATGTCACCCTAGGCTGTCTGGTTTGAGTTCAGCCCTACAGCCTGGGTGGAGGTGTCAGGAGAGCCTGCTTGTGTCACGTGGACTGTCTGAATTCTTGCTTTAGGGGACAGCTGCTGTATTTGGGCAGATAAGGTTCTCAGAGAGAGGCACCACCTTCTCAAGGCTGCAGGTTGAATGGGAAAGAGCCTAGAGCCGGAGTCATGTGTGGGTCCCATGGCTGAGAGTAAGCTATGTGCTTTATACTATACTGACGTGCAGTACTGATCTTATCGCTAAGTGACTCACAGGGCTCTGTTCTGCTGGCCCAGAGGTTTGGGCCAGGCCATGATAGTGCCTGTCTGACCAGCACTGCCCCCGGCCTTACCGCCGGATGCCGCCACAGTACCGACAGTCCACCAGGAAAATGCAGCGCAGGGCCCGGGTCACCCGCACATGGGACGTCTGCCGTACCAACACCACAATGGCCTCGATGAACTGGACCACGAGCACGGAGGTCTGCGGGGTGGCAGCACAGCATCGTCAGTCCCCCACCCAGCCCTCCTCCTGAACACCCTGAACCGAGGGCTGGAGAGATACTGCCCACCCTGACCTTGAGAGCTTGCCTCCCTCCTTCCATCTCTCTCATACCGCCCACCAACACCCAGTGGCCACCCTAGAAGAGCCCACAGCTGCTGGCCCAGATGTGTGGCCCCAGGAGGATGGACTCCAGGGGGTGCCCCCACCAGCTTGGACTGTGGAAGGGAGGGTCAGAAGGCAAAGCCTCCACTCGACCCTTTTCCTCACTACTTAGCTCACCCCACCTGCACCAGGAAGCTGCCCCCTGAGGTCTACAGCTCACCTCAATCCTTGATTACTTGGGCATATTCTCCTGGACGAGTATGTACTTTTTACATGACACAGTGCCACTGACCTAGTCCTACTCACTCCACTCTCTACTACACGGAGGGAAGGGGTACAGCACGCGGTACCGATCGGCGCGGGCGTGTAAGTCAGACAAGCCTGGGTTAGACGCCCACCTCTGGGATTCAGACCCTATTCTGGCTGGCTCAATGTAAAATCGGGAGAATAATCCATCTCCCTCAAAGGTGACCATGAGGATCAGTACAGAGCTCAGCACGCCCTGGACACTGATTGCATCAGCTCCTGTCAACGTCATCACGCTATTCGAGCCTCTGGCAAGGCTGGGGGCATCGTGAGGACGAAGCCAGAAAAACCAAACCCGTTGCCATCAAGTTGATTCGACCCATAGTGACCCTGTAGGACAGAGTAGAACTGCTCTGTAGGGCTTCCAAGGAATGGCTGGTGGATTCCAACTGCTGACTTTTTGGTTAGCAGCTGAGCTCTTAACCATTATGCCACCAGGGCTGCATTGTGAGGACAGGGACCTGATTTTACACTTCTGAGCCAGGACTGGGCCCATGGGGAGTTCTGGCTTGAGGGCGACGGGAGGAAATGCTGTGAGGAGACAGACAGAAGGACGGATGTATCACCTTGACCATGGTCCGTTTGTGCCGGATGAAGGTGTGGAGGCCCAGCCACCGCAGCTTCATACAGAGTTCAAACACGACCACCATCAGGGCGAACAGCTCCAGGGTGGCGTGGACCTGCAGCCAGGGGGTGTGGAGAAGGTCGTCATCGCCACCCCGCCCACGGTTGCCTCTCTCTTGACCCCGCCCTCTCCCAGGACCTGGAAAACTGCCATAGGACCCCTGCCTGCGTCCCCCTACCCGTGCATCTACCACCCACACCCACACCCACACACATCCGTTACAAAAACCAGGCCCTGGGTGTTCAGAGACATAGCCTTGGCAACATAGTTTTTTCCCAGAACATCTAAACATAACCTCAGTATTCGTGAAACAGACACACTGATCCATACACAGAAGAATTAAGAAGGAGACCAAAGTTATAAAGAAAGATAAGATAAAAATTTATATCTAGCCTTGTTTCCGGAAGGATTTCGTATAGTTTACAAAAGACCCATAAAATACACTATCCAAACCAAAAACCAAGGCCGTTGCCATCGAGTTGATTCTGACTCATAGTGACCCTACAGGATAGGGTAGAACTGCCCTATAGGGTTTCCAAGGCTGTAATCTTTACGGATGCAGATTGCCACATCTTTCTCCTGTAGAGCGGCTGGTGGCTTCAAACTGCTGACCTCTCGGTAAGCAGCCAAGTGCTTAACCACTGCACCACTAAAGAACCATGAACTGGGGGCCTAAACTTAAGAGTTTGTTTAAAAACAAAACTGCGTGGAAAAAAATACCAAGACTTACTTGAAAATCCAAGAGCCCAAGAGAAAAGGGCTGTTGAGCAGACAGGGGCCCCAGAAATTCTCATTGACTCTCACTTGCTCACTTGGACAAAAGGACAAGGACACACAGGGGGCCCCCAAGCAAGCCTCTTTCTACTTTAGGCCAGCTGCAGCTTCCCAGGGGTGGGGGCCTCCTCAGTCGTCCCACTTGTCCCCTGACAAGCAGGGCAGGCCCCAATAAGGGCCTTACATTTAAATGAACATCAAAGCCTTTGTGGTCCGTGCCTCACAGAACTCACTGCCCTGAAGGGACGTCAAGGCCTCTAGGAGCAGATGTGGGCAATCTAATCCAACCATGGATGGGGGCCTCCTGGAGACGCAGAGGAGGGGCAGGAGCTGGCAGGGTGAAGGGACAGCGTGAGGAGGAAGGAGAACAGGTCAGTTCAGAATGGCCGGCGCTGAGGGTTTTAGGCATGAAGAGGGAGAAGCAGGAGGAGAATCTGAGGAGGGAAAGCGGCCTAGTCACGATGGGCCTCGAACCGCCGGCTGGAAAGATTGTTTCTCTAACGAGATAGGCACAAGGCTAAAAAGATACAGGGACCCCACTTCTTCCCCGGCTCCCCGCCTCCCACACATCCCTAGGGAAGAGTGATGAGGGTCATCTCCATGGACATCCCTGGCCCACACGGGATGGTAGGCTGGATGTGAAGACACTGTGGGGCTATGGCTGCCAGGATACACCCTGCCCCCACTGGTGATCACACCCGACTGCCTTTTCCGTTTCTGCTGAGGCTGGATACAATGGTGTGAGAATGTCAGGCCGGTGTCCTGGCCACCATGGCCAAGGTGTGGGCACCGGACTCAGGCGAGGTAAACAGGATGCCACCCCTCCCTGGAAATGGATAGTGAGCAGGGCCACAGTAAGGCTGGGGCACCTGGGCCAGCTGGTTGGGCCACTGCTGTTCCTGAGGCCTCTGTGACCATCCCGTGCTTCTCTGTTTTAAGTCCGTTTGCAGTGTTGCCCTTCTAGAACGTCCCCTCTCAAGCTTGAGTAGCCCAAACCGGTCTCTGTTGCTTGCCCGCCCACAGGGAGCCAGTGGCACTCACATAGATGCCGAGCCGGAGTGCGGGGACAGCGGGGGCCTCACACAGGGAGAGCAGCAGCAGGAGCAGGGCCGTCGACAGCTCCATCAGGTAGAAGAGGTGGTTGTGTGCAAAGAGGTAGGCCGCCAGCGCTTTGGCATTCTTGGGGTGGGTGAAGAACTTGTCGTTATTCTCGCCTTCCTGGGAAAACAAGAGCCACGTGGGCGAACGACCCTGGAGGTGGTACAGCACCAAAGATGTGCGTGCAGTGAGCAGGGGAGGAGAGGAAGGCAGGTAAGAGAGGTTCAGGCTGGAGATGGAAGATGATGGGACATCAAAACGATCCTCTTCACAAAACTGCCCACTGGCCAAGCTCAAACTTGACCACTGACAGGTCTCAAAAGACTTTCTGCCTCTTAAAAAACACTCTGAGGAATCAAAGAGCAGCAGGTCCTGAGAGAAGGTTAAAGAGGGCAGCACATCGGACCCCCTCAGAGGCTGATCTTCACTCTCAGAAAGGCCCGGCTGCTCGGGGGTTCTGGTGTAAGCAGACTCAGCCGGGTCCTGCCTTCCCCACTCCCTCCCCGCGTAACGTTGAGAAAGTTCTTGTGCCTCAGTGGGCCTCAACTTCTTCAACCATTGAGGGGAAAACACTGGGACCTATTCAGAGGGCTACTGTAAGGATGAAATGGGAAAACAATGAAAGACCCTTGGGACAGAGGCTGGCACACAGCAAGCTCCCCCCAGGTGTTAGCTAATTGATTAACAATGAAAGAAAAAAAATGAAGCTAATAACCATACTTAGTCAGACCTTTTAAAATCATCAAGAGCTAATGCACTCAGTTGCTAACTGATAGGTTGGCAGTTCGAGTCCACCCAGAGGTGCCTTGGAAGAAAGGCCTGGTGATCTACTTCTGATAAAACAGCCATTAAAAACCCTATAGAGCACAGCTGTACTCTGACACACATGGGATCGTCATGATGCAGAATCAAACAGATGGCAACTGGTTTTTTTACCCCAGTGGGGTGGCCACTCTGGCTTTGCTCAGGCTTTCCAATATCCCACTTCTTACTTGATGTTGCTATCTCTTTGCTGTTTTCCGTAATTTCCTAACCCTTGCAAAATGCTGGACCTTGTAGACCTACTGAACTCACCCTCAGTTCTTGCCCCCGTAATAGTCATAACAAGGTGGCCAGCAGGGGCTGAGCAATCACCATATGCCAGGCCTGCTCAGTCCTGCTGTGCCGCACTCAGTCAGTCCTCACAACCTCCTGGGCAGGTGGCTACTTGCGTTATCCCATTTGAGAGAGAGTTGAGGAAACCGAGGCACAGAGAGCTTCAGTAACAGCCTGAGGTTACAGGCTCCAAAGGACTCTACTGCACTCCTGCTAATGATGTAGGAATAAGTGACACAGCCCAGGAATGCCCACTTAGGGACACCGGCAGAGGACACCCCCAAGGCCACAGCTGAGCCTCTAACAGGCCCTGCTAAGGTGAGCCCTAGGTGGTGGAAGGTTGTTTCACTGCATCTCTGGAGTTGGTGGGCACAGCTAAGTAAGGGATTTTCCCACCTCATCAGCATCATTACCCAGTAGCCAACACTCACTACTTCCTTGGCTGATGCTTTGCATGCATCACCTTGCTTCAGTGGTTCTCAACTGCAGGTGATTTTGCACCCCTACCCCAGGGCACTTAGTAATGTCTGGAGATATTTTTGGTTGTCACACCTGGGGGTGGTGCTGTTGGCATCTAGTGGGTAGAGGTCAGGGATGCTGCTGAACATCCTATGATGCACAGGATGGCTCCAGAATTATCAGGCCAAACTCAAAAGTGCTAAGGCTGGGAGGCCCTGTCCATTTACTCCTCCACTCACCCTCAGAGTAGAGACAGTTCCTATTGGCTCCACCTCACAGAGGAGGGTAGTGGGCTTAGAGAGGTCATGTGCCTAGACTATGCAGCAACCAGGAAGCGGCGGAGCCAGAATGTAAGCCTGGGTCTCCTCACCCACAGACCCTCTGGAAGCATCCAGCTGTCTCTGGAATGCAGGCACACCTTCAGCTGCTCTGGGATGAGGCCACCCTTGGCACCCTTACAAACCATCACTCCCTGGAAGGCTGAGCTCACACGTGGTCTGCTGACGCATGGGGGAGTTGCACGCGGGAACTGCAGGGCCAGGCTAACAGGAGAAGCGTCTCTGGGCCGTGCTGCAGATCCACCCGTGGTGCCATGGAAAAACCTCTGGCCTGATGAGCTCCCATGCTAGCCACGAGGGGCTTCAGCACGCCGAGGGGCTTCAGCACGCCGAGCCTCTGCGTCATTGTTGGGAAAGCAAGGTGTATTGTCAGTGCCTCACCTGGCACAGTGCCTGCTACACAGTAGATGTTTAATAAACCCAACTAGACCAACTGCTGTCAAGCTGACTCTGACTCATGGAGATCCCATGCATTACAGAGTAGAACTGCCCCATAAGGTTTTCTTGGCTGTATTCTTTACGGAAGCAGACTGCCAAGCCTTTCTTCTGAGGCACCGCTGGGTGGGTTTGAACCACTTGTGCCACCCATGGCCTTTGGTGTTTTATAGGTGTTTGCATAAACCTCTGCTGCAAGAGACCACTTCTCCAGGTCCCAGCCCAGCCTGGAAACTGTCCAGTAGCTTAGCAGGCTGTGAGCTCGGACTTTGGCTGTGGTTTGTTGGGTAATTTTGAGTGAGTCACTTCTCTGAAGGGGGTATGTCGGTCCCTTCATCAGCAAAAAATAAAGGCAAACCACAGACCTGACAGGGCAGACCAGGCGGAGGAAACAAACATCTCAGCAGTCCAGCGGAGGGCCAGTGGCCAGCCTCACTCATCTTGCTGTGGTCTGCACAGAGTCATGGTTTCCAGCAGCAGCCTCCAGGGTGGGGGTAGGGGGCGGGAGGTGGGGGCAAGGGGGAACATTCACAGTGGCCTGGGAAGCTTCTGGTTTGAATGACTAAGAAACACAATTTCTTCCAACCCATAGCCAGGGACGAAGGTCCAGCTTGAGGCAACCACTGACACGGGAGGCAGGGGGCTCGGATTTTAACTATAGGACTTGGAACTGCCACAGAGAAGTGGGGACGAGGTCTCCACCGATGAGAACGGAGCGAAATATTTACCATGTCACTGGATTCTGAGCCAAGACCCCAAAGGAGAACACGAGCCTTGTTTTCTGGCTGCAGATCACCAACTAGATTAGGAAAATAAGAAGCCAGGCCAGCCATACGCGGCTTCCAGGCCTTCGCTCTCTGCTCCCTGGGGTGGGACTTGGTGCAGAAAACGAAGGCTGTCTCGAAACGCTAGGCTCTCAACGGTGAGCAAGCTAACAGGGAAAATCTGGGAGGAGAGGAAGATGCTGGCTCCAGTTAGCCTCAGAGCAGCGAGCAGCCAATTACCCAAGCACACCCACAGCCTGGTGCAGGGGCTGAGCTACAGCTTAGCTGCAAGCACCAGAAGGAAGAGGCCATCTCGGCACCAGCTAAGGCCAGCCTCCAGAAACAGCCACGTACTCCCCTTCACAAGGGCCTGAGGTTTGCTTGGCTTTTGTTTTTATTTTTCACAAAATGATGCAGATGTTTTGGTAAAACAGCTCAAATAGTTCACGATAAGGTAGTCAAATGACTCAAAATTCCATCAGCCAGAGATGCACATCAGTAATAGATACACAGTGTTCCAGATGTGTATGGGTGCCTGTGCGTACACCTACATACAGGTGTATGCAGCTATGTGGGCATACATTTTATTTAAAAATTATCACGATACCTGCCGTTCTGGAACTTCCTTTCCCCACTTACAGACACTGAGAATGGGCAGGCCCTGACCAGGAGATACTCACCTGGAGGTAGATGGCTGCTTCTTGATAATTCATCTCCCAGTTGTGCCTGGTGGGGCTTGAGGGGGAACTCTCACCCCCAGAGCTCAGGCTGGGGTCCTGCGAGTCATTGATGGTATAGCTGCTTCCATCTGCATTGAAGGAGAGAGAGAGTTACTTACAAGCCAGGCTTTAGAGAAAAAAGGCATCATTCACCAGTAAGAAAGTCTGGCGGTCGCCTTGTATGCTCACACATATATCCTATTACATACAGGTCAGCCGTGTGTACTAATGCCGACAAGAATTACTATGACCAGCGGAAAATTTTTTCTTTCTCTTGCTAAGCAAAAAAAGCAAGTGCAAAAGATCACATTGAGTACAGTACATTTTGTGTAAAAAAAAGAAAGAGGAAACAAGAAATCATAGACATACCTAGTTATCGTTATAAAAAGAAATACCCAAACCCACTGCCATCAAGTCGATTCCAGTTCATAGTGACCTAACAGGACAGAGTAGAACTGCCCCATAGGGTTTCTAAGGAGCAGCTAGTGGATTCGAACTGCCGACCTTTTGGTTAGCAGCCAAGCTCTTAACCACTATGCCACCAGGGTTCCAAAAAAACACAAAAACAAAATATGGGAAGGATAAATCAGAACTCAGTGAAACTGGTTAACAACAAGGGGTGGGGAGAACAGGGTAGAAGTGGATAATTTTTACTTTTGGAAGCATGTTAATATTCTACTGAGTTCTGAGTTCAAAAATAAAAATAGCTGGATTTGCTCCCTGGTGCAGGGTCATTGGGTGTTTTCCCTCGGAGCCCTCTTCTTCCAGTGACCCCACCCTGTGCACCTTGGAACCACCTCTCCTCTGCTCCAGATTGCCTGGCTCTGCCCACCTCCATCCCTGGTTCCCATATGTGGTCAGGTCTGGCAATCAGCAACCTCAGCAATCCTGGGCACAGTGATTGGTTCAGGCCTGGGCACTGGCTCAAGCCCGGCCAGTGAGGGCTGAACCTGGAATTTTTTCTGGACTAATTAGAAAGGAAGGAGCCCGGTGGAGCAAATGGTTAAGTGCTCAGCTGCTAACCAAAAGGTGGGCAGTTCGAACTGACCGGCAGTTCCACAGGAGAAAGACCCGGTGATCTGCCTCCGTAAAGATTACAGCCTAGGAAACTCTATAGGGCAGTTCTACTCTGTCACAGGTGGTCACTATGAGTCAAAATTGACTCAACGGCACCCAGCAACAACAATTAGGAAGGAAGGGCTCTTTTCTCTATTGCTGGCGCCTGCCACTGCATGGGGAAAGCTAGCCTGAGAAGGAAGCCAGAAAGAGAACAAAACAGGGAGAGAAATACCTACCCCTTATAACAATAATTACACACCTGGCATTCAGCTGTGCCTGAACTCCACCCCTTAACTTTTCCAAAATCTGTGTCAATCAAGATCCGTTTTTACTTAGGCCCATTTGAGCTGAGTTGGTCACAACTGCCAAGAGTCTCCACTCACACACATGATAAACAGTGGTACCAAGACATGATTTTCAACTTGCTAATTTACTGGGAAGATGTGAATCTAGAATTAAAATCTGGTCCCCCAACAATGCACCCACTAAGTGATGAAGAAGCAAATATTTGGATAATGAGATTTGCATAGTCGGCAAGAAGCAAATGCAAGGCTCATCATTAGACAGGAAGAGGTTGGGAAACTAGCAGGGTTCATAGGGCTGTTGGGTCACAACAGGGTCTTCTGATCTTAAACAGCCAGGTCAGGCCCTCCCATCTGCAAAGCTCCTCCCCATCCTTTTTTTTTTTTTTTTTTTATTAAATGGTTTAATTAAGGTATAAAACCTATTCCTGTCAAGTCAACTTCAACTCACAGCAACCCTCTAGGACACAGTAGAACTGCCCTATAGGTTTTGCAATGCTGTAATCTTTATAGAAGGAGACCGCCACATCCTTCTCCCATGGAGCAGCTGGTGAATTCAAACTGTGTACCTTTCAGTTAGCAGTCGAGCTCTTTAACCACTGCGCCACCAAACCAAAAACCCACTGCCATCGCATCAATTCCGACTCACAGCGACCCTGTAGGACAGAGTAGAACTGCCTCACAGAGTTTCCAAGGAGCAGCTGGTGGACTCGAACTGCCGACCTTTTGGTTAGCAGGCGAGCTCTTAACTACTGTACCACCAGGGCTCCTTTATTAAGCTATAAGGGGCATACAATAAACTGTATATATTTAAAGTGCACAATTTGGTAAGTTGTGACAATAAATATTTATATCCATCACCCCTAAAAGTTTCCTTGTTTCCCTTCTGTCTCCCCCCACATTCCTAGGCAACCATTGATCTGCTTTCTGTCACTATAGATGAGTCAATTGTTTTTAGAATTTTATATAAATGAAATGATACAGTATGTACTCTTTCTGCTTGGCTTCTTTCATTCAGCAAATTATTTTTAATTTCATCTATATTGTATAGTGTATCAATAGTTCACTCTGTTGTACTGCTGAGTAGTTGTCACGGATTGAATTGTGTCCCCCAAAAATGTGTGTCAACTTGGCTGGGCCATGATTCCCAGTATTGTGTGACTGTCCACCATTTTGTCATCTGATGTGATCTTCTTAGGTGTTGTAAATCCTATCTCTATAATGTTAATGAGGCAGGATTAGAGGCAGTAATGTTAATGAGGCAGGATTAGAGGCAGTAATGTTAATGAGGCAGGGCTCAATCTACAAGATTAGGTTGTGTCTTAAGTCAATCTCTTTGGGATATAAAAGAAAGAAGCAAGCAGAGAAACATGGGGACCTCACACCACCAAGAAACAAGAGCCAGGAGAATAGCACCTACTTTGGACCTGGGGTCCCTGCACTAAGAAGCTCCTAGTATGGATGTACCACAGTTCGTTTATCCATCTCCTGTTGATAGACATTTAGATTGTTTCCAGTTTGGGGCACATATGCTTTCATTTCTCTTGGGTAAATAAAAAACCAAAAAAACCAAACCTGTTGCTGTTGAGTCGATTCTGACTCATAGCAACTGTGATGGTTAAGATTGTATGTCAGCTTGGCTGGGCCATGATTCTCAGTGTTTCAGTGTGATCACTCCCATGATTGAATACACTGTTGAGTAGCCAATCAGATGAAAGGGAGTCTCCCTGGGGGTGTGGCCTGCATCTGAATATAAGCAGACATTCTGGCTTTTTGCTCTCTCTGGATCCTGAAGCTGCCTTCTGTCGTCTCATCCCCGGTTCTTGGGACGCGAGCTGTCAGCTTATCTGCCAAACTTCGGATTCATCGATCTTCACAGCCTGTGAGTGGAGCCCTGCTCTCTGACCTGCTGATCTTGGGTTCACCAGCCCCTGCAGCTACGTGAATCAGTAGAAACCTTGTGGTCTTGCCTGCTGATCTCAGAATTCATCAACCGTCACAGCCTGTGAGCGAGAGCCCTGCTCTCCAACCTACTGATCTTGGGCTCACCAGCTTCTGCGGCTGCGTGACTTGGGCAAGGCCTCTACCCTGATCCACGGACTTGGGATGCTCTAGCCTCTACAATCGCGTGAGCTGTTTCCTTGATATAAATCTCTCTCTCTGTATATATTTATACATTACTGGTTTTGCTTCTCTTGAGAACCCAGCCTAAGACAGCAACCCTACAGGACAGAGTAGAACTGCCACACAGGGCTTCCAAGGAGCAGCTGGTGATTCAAACTGCAGACCTTTTGGTTAGCAGCTGAGCTCTTAACCACTGCACCACCAGGGCTCCCTTGGGTAAATAAGTAGGGGTGAAATAGCTTGGCCATACAGTAAGTGTATGTTTAATCTTTTAAGAGACAGCTTACAACACTACCATGTCTTGATTCTGGTAGCTTTGTAAGTCTTGAAAATCAGGTAGTATAGTCCTGACCTGTTCATGTCTTTCAAAGATGAGCTCTCTGTCCAATGCCAATGCGGCAGCCTCTCCCAACTCTGCTCCCAATGCCCATTTGTAAAAGAATTAAGCCTCAGGCAGAGACAGGAGAAGGTCAAACCATCTTCCTCAATCTGCTCCCGTGGACCAGGGAAGCACTAGCCAAAGTGTGGCTCGTGAGTAGAGAGAGCCTTGGGCAGGTGGCTGGAGGGGGCCGTACCCTCATATGCCCATGCCCCATCCTCCTCGACCTTCACACACCACTGCAGGCACCAGATCTGGCTACACAGCAGAGTCCTAGGTCAAATAAATAACCAGTGACAGAGTGGCTGGGGTACAGGCATGGGCACAGATGGCAGCAGACATTAGCGCCACATTCCCACCCTGCATTAAACAGCGAAGTGTCTGTGTGAGGCCCCCTGCCTGGAAGATACCCCGTCTGAGCCTGCCCACCCCCTCCTCTTCCTGGGGATCTCAGCAGATTGATCTGAGCATCTTCTTCCCACCCATTAGCTCTCTCAGCCCATCCCTGGTGGGAAGAAGGCACCTGGCCCTCCTCAATGTCCCCCCTTTGCCCCTCACCATCTATACCCTTAAGCACCACTGGACCAGATGGTCTAAAGCACCACATGGTGTCTTTTAGTGTCCTGGTGCAGGTGAGAGACATCCCCTCTTCCCTAGCACACAACCCCCTCAAAGCCACAAACAATATTTCCGCCCAGCTTCTGAAATCCACAAGGACCATGGAGACAGGGAAGATCATCCTCAGAGACAGAAACTTTGACACCACCTGCTTCACTTCTCCAGGCCCGGAAGTCGCCAGGTCTGGGAGGGTCTGTTCTCTCAAACCCATCCCTACGCCCACCTGCCTTTGTTAGGGCCTCCTTGTTTTCCACCTACACGATGGCACCAGGCTTCAGGCTGGCGCTCGCTGGCCGGGCCTTTACCGACCACTCAGCACTGAGCATTTGCTACAGGAGAATTCTGTGAAGCCTAACTCGCATCATGTCACTCTGCTGCCTACAGCCCTCCAGTGGTTTGCCCTGAATCAGATTCGGACTCCTTAGCAACGCAAGCAAACTCCAAACTGATAGGTGGATCTTCACCCTGGTTCGTACAAGATGGGTTGCACCAAGCACTGATGATGCTTAGAATAGCTGGAGTCCCCGTGTCAATGAACATCACGCCCAAACAAAGACAAACCTGCCCTCCAGGGCCGCAGCTCACACCTAGCTGGCAGGCTGGCAGG